TAAATACTTAAATTTCCCTTAAAACCCTGCCACTGCTGTGCTCTTGAGCAAGCCATTTACAGGAAGGCTAAATCTCTTAAGCCCTTATCCCAGCACTGCCCTGTTTTACATTCACACTTTCAGTGCTCATTCTGCTCAGTTTGCCACTGCTACCCACAGACAAGTGTGACTAGAGCCACTGGGAGCACAGCAGCTTGCTCATGGGCACCTTGGTAGTAGCCGTTAAGGCTAAACAGATGGCAACTCAATCACCTCACCAGGGATTTAAGCCAGAAATTTCCCCGGTAGCCGGCCCACTTCTGACCTTTCGGCTACTGTTGCACCCGTAACTCAAAACACATTTCAGTTGGGTTAAGTTGGCAAGTGAACAAAACTGCACACGTAAGTGAGGCATTGTGGCCAATATAGGTCATTTAAAATCACCCCGCCTAATTTTATACCGATCATACGTGGTTCAGTTGGCCTCAGTGGACCAGATGATTAAAAGCCTGGAGCTGTTTATGACTGTATCTGGTGTGTTTCTAGGTGAAACGAATGCCATCGGGGGCATCAGAGATGGGTGCCAGCTTCTGGGTAACAAGTCAGGACAGCGAGCTCATGAATCTTTCGCTTGTAAGGGGAACACAAAAGCCCTGCTCTGCCCTGCGGTGGCACACAGAAAGACACGTTAGCTTTTTTTTGTAAGAACCACAGCTGAACATGTGCGCACAAGCACTCACCCACACCTACAACTTCCTTTTCTCTTTCACACACAGATAAAACCTCATGACTAGCCCTAAGCAAAATAGTCTGTCCATTCCCACAGTACAGCAACAGAAAGCACAGACCTACATGCATACCTGCTTATTATACTTAAAAAGGACCTTCACTATATTCAAGCTGTGAACTTAAAGCTTCAACACCACGTGGTGCACTCTTATCTAAACTGAAGCCTACTATTACAACCCTGAACCCAAGTGCTATGCGACATTATAACTTTAAAGACGTGATAACATCTCCTCACTTAAAATGAGACATAATATTGGATTACCTAAGACTAGAAATACAAAACACCACAGCAGATTGAGAACCGACACAAGAACAGCTGAGAAGTTGTAAATGTAAACACTTGCAGGCCTATAACACATGCAGGTTGAGCAGGTTAGGCAGTCTGTGTGGGGAAATGAGGAAACTGGAGGAGGATGAAATCCTCTGAAGTTGATTGATGACACTGTTTTGCAAGACAACAAATAAACAAGACTATAACTGTATGGACCAAAATGTGTCAGAGGTCACAAGGAGCTAAAGGGAAAAATGTGATGTAAGATATGAACGAGGTCCGTAGAGAATCGAAACATCAACAATAAGTATACTGCTAGATTTATACATAACAAATTATATTGTTTGTGTAAAAGAAAGTTATTTAAACTGTACAAGTACATAAATTATACATTGAGTCACTAGTCAATCCATACATTTACTGTAAACTATTCATTTTAAATGTTACAGCATTGCTGTTTCTTGTGCTAAGGCCATTCTGCTTATTTGCAAGACAGGCAAAAATAAAAGGGCATAAACAAATCCATATCTTCTGTCATTTAAGGTAAAACAAGAACGTCACCAACACTGTGCAGGTTTCTGATGATTGTCATTTGAAAAGCCTATATGATTTGTACAAGAGGATACAATAATCACTCAAAAGTACAATTATGGGACTTAAAATAATGTCTAAAGAGTACAAACAGCAACTAGAGCTTTCACTTGTTCAAGGACAAGAAGGATGGAGGACAAGGACACTGGATTTATGTCTGGTTCCTCTGACTTTGGATCCACTTGATGTTCTCCGAAGGAAAAGGGGGGGAGTAACACAGGAAGAGAAAGGAAACGAGATGAGAAAGACAGACGAGAGGCAACAGAGGGAACAGAGAGTACGAAACATGCAAATTGCGGCGTGAAAGCTCTGGCTGTCATGTCGTGAGTGCTGTGATTGAATTATAACTCAATGCGGTGATAATCATCTCAGAATTTGACAAAGCCATGGGAGGATAAATATTACAGGTTGAGTTGCGTAACAGTGTGTTTATGATGGTCTCCGCTCTGCAGGAGTTTAATGAAACGGAGTGAAAAAGCACTTCATTCCCTTTCAGTGTTACATGCATAATACACGTGGCCCATTACCGGGTACTATGTGCCCAAAAACAAAAACACATACATCCAAAACATTCATATTATTATCACGTCTATTGTCTTTCTTCTGACCTCTAGGGATGGGTATCACTTGGATTTTATCGATACCGATACTCTTACTGATGCTACTCGCCCTAATTTGGTGAAAAAGATAAGACGACATGAAAAGAATCAACAGTTTTTTGCAGAAATATGTTAAATTGTTTCCTGAGCTATCCCATTACACTGCAATTTTATTAAATTTACTAAAGCGAGTCAACACTTCTGATCATTTTTCCCTATCACCTGTTTATGTAACGTTACATAAATACCGATAGCAGTACTGTTTGTCCAGAGCTTATTGATATTTCTGTACAGACCAGTCAGTCTCAATACCCATCCCTACTGACCTCTACAGCTCAACATTCAATATCAAGCTCAAAATTAAATTAAAGTAATACAGAAGACTCTCAAATATAACAGTTTTGGAAAAGTTTCTTGTCAAAGACGTTGATTAGGTAGCTCATGAGCTACATGAAGGAGGAGGTAAGAGCTCAGAGTCTTGTTTGATCCCAGAGTAGTGAGATGGTTTCTCGGATTAAAATGCTTAAAATCAGGTGCGACCATCTTAATTACATTAAAGCTTCCACTAGTGAAGTGCATGTAGAGTACGGACAGCAACATAAACACGAGTTCATTCATTCAAAATGCCAAAACAACCTCAACCTGGAAGAAGTTGAGCTACCAGAAAGCAGAAGAGCTCATAATAGGACCAGTGTTATATACGTTATATAACATATTGAGAGAGCCCATACTGTTAATTTCTCCCGGGCCCTTGTGGTAGGCGGCGGGGGGGGGGGGAGGTGTCTTGAGGACCCCCTGTTGTTGCCATGGTGAGGTTGCTAACAAGAGTGGCTTGTGACTGAGCGAACACAGCAATCATCCTGCTGTCCAGCTCACAGCCAGCGAGTTTACTCCCTCCGCTGCATGTATAAAGGATTCCTCCTCTACCAGCTGGGTCCCTACCTAGGTTTTGTGTTTTTATGATTGCTAACTAGTGTGATTATTCAATTATCTTGCTTGCTGTATTTCCAGCATTCAAACCACAAGCAAACTTTTGACACAAACTTAACCGCATCAAGCATTTAACAGGCAAAATTATTGGTTTAATGCTCTGCTTTGTTAGGGAGAAACTGTTTTGTCACCCACCCACTATTATGTGGAATCTACTATTAAACACCATGTGGCCAAAAAAAAAAAAAAGCCTGCTTATAATGTGAATACAGTAACAAAAAACATTAAGTGACTGGAAAAAGGGAGTTTCCTGTTATGACTGAGCTTCTTTCTTCTGATTATTATTGGAGGAAAAGGCTATATATAAATGCATTGTCACTTTGTGGAGTCCTACATTTGGGTGTGGCCTGACACAAACTGTGTCCTTCATCAACAGGTTCATATAGAAAAGATATGGAAATGCTGCCACTTCTGAAGGAGTTTCTGGGTCCTGGCGGGGGCTACGGGCAATAAACACCTAACTGCAACAATCCGCAGTGAGTCAGGAGCACGGTCAAACATCACACCGCAGTTTAGGAAGGGGAAGGGTGGTAGCATCTCTCTCATGGGCACAGCACAGATTTAAAATGTATACAGTAAATGCCCCTAAGCAGAGGGTCCTAATCTTTATGCATGTTCACACTGGCGATTCAACACTTACATTACAGCTCTGTCGTTTGGTTAGAGAGTCCCACCCAAAATATGGCGTAAATACAACACTGTGGTAAAAGGTCAATGTGAAAACCCTGGAAACTGTGAATCAGCACTACTGCCGGATGTCCTTTTTTTTTTTTTTTTACGTCACATGAGAGACTGACACAATATCTAGACATGAGACGTACAAGGGATTGGGACACTGATGACATGTCCTTTAAAAAAAAAAAATGTAAAAGAGAGAGGATGGATGTGTATTTTGTCAGCTGCTGCAAGAGGAAGTAGCTCATTGTGAGAGCTTCAAATCCAAAGGGAATGAGTGATATTTCAGGCTGCTAGGTTGGCGTAATGCCCTTGAGATAAAGGTGGGGATCCTCAGTACAGCTGCACTACTGGTGTCAGGACATTGGACAGAGGCTGCAAGCACCTTTACAAAAAGAAAATATGACAAGAAAACCCTGTCAAATGCTGCCATGTCCTGTCTCCCCAAAAACCCAGACGCTGCCACAGACACAGAAAAACATCAGCAGGACAAACCACGCTAGCCTGACACAGCAGATTTTGTATTATTGTGCTGCCCACTGAGCTGCTTTCTCACAGTTTACTTAAAGGGGGAAACTGGACAGACATGGAGGAGGAGGAGGAGGAGGAGGAGGAGGAGGAGGAGGGTGGACGGAGAAAGGTGAAGAGCTGGAAGTGAGGTGATGGAGAGGAGGGATGAAGGGATGGGTGCAGGGGCAGGTTGGGTGTGGAAAGGGCTGGGTGGCCTTGCATCAGATGCATTAATTATTGATCAGGACAAACATGCGCACTGGAGACACCGGTGGGTGAACAAGGTGGAAGATTTTTTTTAGGGCAACTCATTGATTTGTCCATTTTTTTTTTTTTGCATATGTGTGTAATCAATGCAACCTCCTCCCCTCCCCAACCTCACATCTCCATCCTGACCTAGCCTGTGTGTCCAATTGCAACCCGTCCCAAATGAGCTAGGGTGGGAGATTAACGCGTCTGTGTCGCCTTGTTTGATTGCAGCTGCTCTTTGCACATGGCAGACTTAATCTCTCGACGGGGGTTTGTTATTATCATTATAATATACAATAAAAAAAAAAAAAAAAAACCCTGCTCCTGTGTTTTAATGATCTACTTACATGGTCCGGGTTCCGCTCGTTCCCAGGCAGTGCCGTGCGTAAAGACATGTTCAGGGTCCCTGAGTGCAGCCCGTCCAGGAGAAAAATAAAAGTGGGTTTGTGGTTCACACCGGGTTAAAAAAAACGACCAAAAAAAACAAAAAAAAACACCCCAGATTAGCCTGGTTGTCAGTCACACCAAGCTCTGTGAAAAAAAAAAATACAGCTTCACTTCTCATACAATCCTCATTGTCACAGTCCGTGAAGGCAGCACCGATGCAGCTTTAATTTTATACGTTAAAAAAAAAAAACATCCACCTCATGTGTGTCTGGTACCGAAACAACCCCAGACTGAACCCCCAACCCACCCCCCCACTTAGCTTCTCACGTCCCCCCCCCCACCCCCTCCGTCCTCAGACACTATCGCACCATGTCGGTGGACATACTGGACCGTTAATACACAAACAATCCCGGTAAGTCACCGCTTTACTTTCGGCTGCATCGTCTTTTTTTTTGCGGTTGAATTAAAGAAAGCTGCGGATGTTCAAGCCTCCAGTCCCCCGGTCCTTTTCTCTGGGTCCAGTCCGCCCTTTAGCTCCTCTCATTCGGGTTGGCTGCGGGTGATTTTGCGGGGACCGTGAAGTCGCCGGTGACCGTTGAGCGGCGGCGGAGCACGAAGAGATTGTCTTCCGTGTTCCGGGAACATTTGTGGGGCTTTTTTTGTTGTCTGTGAAACCGAAAAGGAGACGGGATCCCCTCTTCTCCACCTCCCGAAAACACACAGTGACAAGAGAAAGAGGGAGGGAGGAGGAGGGAGGAGGGGGGAGGAGGAGGAGGGGGGGACGTCGAATAGGCAGGGCTGCTGCGTCGGTGGCCGCGCACGCGCACACACGCGCGCCTTTCTCTCGCCTCTCTCGCTTGTGCTGCGTTCAGGTACTCGTCATGAAGTCGGTCCTCCGAGTGTCGGAAGTCGTAACTATTTTGACTTGTGAATTAAAGTCATAGTTGACTGGAGAATAGTTTGCAGTTTCCCTCCTTTTATGTGCATGTAAACGACAATAAAGCGCTTCACTTGTTTTCAGGACAGAATTTCACCTCCTGGAAAACAACACGTTTCTGTTTCTTTCTAGTAAGATGTCACTATCGCCTCCTGGTGGCTAAAATCTATTAATTTCAATAGAACAATTTAATGTTCAAAACATTATTATTATTATTATTATTATTATTATTATTATTATTATTATTGGTTGTGTATAATTTAAGGAGCTACTTATTTCAAAGTCTAACACAACAGCTGTTTTTTTTACAGGTTTTCATTGATTTTTTTTTTTAAGGTAGACTCTATTTTTTATGTGTTTACTTGATGTAATACTTGTTTTTTTTTATGTGAAAACCTACTTCCTAATAAACCTGATTCAAATACATCCGTCTGGGTCAATAAGTCCTCCAAAGGTGTCTCACTCCAAATTTGGAGGACGCCATCGGTTTTATTCTTAGGTATCCCAAACTCCACTACACAGTAACTTATCTCTGTGAGGCTAGGGGCAAGACCTTGAGAAAGCACTGTGAAGGACCCTATCTCTTTGGGGAGATGGCAACAGTTCATCCTCCTACTGGCTTTGACTTCTCCAAAGGCCACAGTTACACAGACACAGTACACTGGAGCAGGACACTGAGGGTTCATCCAGGACACGGCTTCTAAAATTGGAATGCAATGTCAATATAAACTGTCTTTAGTCAGGGAATTTAGCACATTGGGGTGAAAGATGGTCTATAAAGCGAGGCCACCCTCCTAAACACCATCACTCTCAGTCACCCTTTTTGGCAGATATTAATTATTCCCTGTACGTCTAAAACAAACGACTTACTTGTCTTTTTACTCACATCCTGTGTCCTCTATATTTGTCACTTTGAAATAGGACTCAAGATCAGGTTGATATGTGCACCCAGACCAGTTTAGCTATCAATGAGATATGTTTTATGTTTGGTTTTTGGTTTTAAAAGGAAAACAAAACATTTCCGATAGCATCAAAACACAACATCCCCCACCCATCCTTCGCCTCATGCTCTTAAAGCCACAATTACTCCATTCATGTAGACCTGCAGTAGTGAATGTGTGTGTGTGTGTGTGTGTGTGTAAGAGACAGACATTATGTTACCAGAAGTTTCTGGAGACCTCCTACCAGGAAATCCGCCTCTGCCTCATCTGTGTTTGTTGGCTTCAGGATTACAATAAAGCGTCTTAGAGACAATTTAACCAACACTTGTTGACAACTTACAAGTAATTAAACAGCAGGTCTAATTACCACAGTTGTAAGCATTAATGGTGCAACACAGTGGTATTTATCCCATGTTGTAGCTCCTGATACCATTTGTACACACCAACATTGCAAGTCACATTATTGAAAAAGACAAATGAGAGAAAAAGAGATTTCATATCAGTTTGCAGCACCTTTAAAAAAGCAACCCTGGATGGCTTAACAGTGAGTATGAAGGCTCCACTCCCCATATATGCAAGTAGTCTATCTGCCCCTGCTGAAGTGTCTATGAGCAATAGATGGATCAGTAGAAGCTAAGGCTGACCTGTGACCTGCATGTGAAGTTACTCACTGTTTAACATAAACACATTAATAAAAAATGCCTTATTTAAAAGGTGATATAATTGCACCGAAGCCCAGAAAATCTACTATGATTACTATCAACTGTGATGTTATTAATATGTAGTCTGCAGTTTATAAATTAAAACAGTAAAATATGAAGCCTCCTCTACATTCTGCTTATAAACCACAACTAAAAACCAACAAAACCTGTGAGTTCTAGCATCCTATTGATCCATTACTAGTTAAAAAGCCCCCTCTCTCGTTCAGATTGGTGGCTTTGGATTGCACTACAGCCCAGAGCTTTTATTTTATTTAGCTAATTCTAAAAAATAAAGTTCTATATGCATGCACAACTGGCCAGTAAAGGTCTCAGAGTCCTTTATGGATTAAAGCACACTGTATTATACTATTTAAACACGGCACAGGATGAGCACTGCTTTATGTTTTGGCCCAGGGGGATTCATGAAACCAAGGCAACCAAAGCTCTCAAACCAAACACTCTGCAGAGGACAAGCTTGTTTATTTTACTGCCTCCTTTCACGTGTGCTAATCCTCAGCTGGCTCACCTGTCCTCTCACTTCTCATAACAGGTGGCGAGAGAAGAGCCCTAGATCTCATCAGCGTGGTTGATCTCCACTGCCACAGCTCTCCACACTAACCTCCACTGAACGCTTTGATGTCTGACAAATTTCCTTTAGTCCTGTCCTCACTTTGAAAGTCCACATTCATCTTCAAAGGGGTCCACTCATACACACAATTACAGATGATATACATATGAACAACACCTGAACTGCCTCATATCCTGTCTAATTCATCACAACATTGTAAACATAAACACATGTACTAAAGGTCTCATTAATTAAAACTGCACTGATTTTCGCACATTGTGTCTGGGGTCGTGTTTTTTAAGCAGAGAACCTGCAGTGAAACATAAACTCTGAATCCATTTTATATTTGATGTTGACATTTTGCCTTAAACTGCTTTTTCACAGCAGAGAAACTCAGGAGAGAATCAGGAAGAGAGACGTCCACGTTCATGTAAGACACAATATACAGTTATTAAATCTGATCTGAGTATAAAAACAAAACAAAAACAGCGCTTACACCCTTCAGTACTTGGATTAATTACCTTTTTTATTCATGACTGAATTACAAATCAGAAGTTACAAGTCTTACCTGGACTGATCTGGACCTGTTGGAGCGAAGCCAGGGCCTCATCCTTTCCTCACACCCCTACTTCCTGGTTAAGACTGAGACCTTCAGTGACCTGAACCCCCGCAGATTAAGAGGCTGATTCTAGACCAGGCAGGTGAACAACACACAGGCAGATTCAGTGTCATCCCCCGGAGAACAGAGGCAGAGAAAGAAAGACATTTAGCAAAAGAGCAGAGTGTTGCTGCTGAAACGGCGAGAGAATCGATGCTGGAAAGAACAACCAGAGCTGCGGTCCATATTTCTATGGATTGCAAAGCCTGTTCTGAACACGGTGTACACCAGCATCATTAATACCCCTGTCCGGTCAGCTGTGTATAAACCAATTAGAGGAGAAAAAAAAACACTGGATGTGGAATTGTCGATACATCTAATGGGCTATGGAAAAGGGAGGGGGGGGGTCAATTTGCTTCAGTTGTTTTTTTACATTTGGTGTGTGTGTGTGTTTTCCATAGCTAGTGATTTATGCTGCTCTGAGCACGTCAGCAGGGATTGATCTAGCCAGTAGCTCATGCTGTCCCTGAGGGCATCAACACACAAACAAACACATATTTGTGCACTTTGATACATGTGAGGACTTTAACTGATATGATTTATGATGTATTCCCCTTCTAGAACGTAACCTGCACGGCTAGTCTACATGCCCAACCCCACCCTTACCTGAACCTTTGTCTAATTTTAATTTTAACTCTAAAACCAGGAATTGACCCCTATAAACACAGAGGAACTCTCTTTTTCGAAATGCTTTCACTGTTGATGTCTAAAACAGAAGTGGTCCTCACAAGAGCACACATGCACACAGAAACGTTATGTTACAACACGTTTGCCAAGAACTAAACCACAATCCTAAACTCACTTTTTAAAGAACAGGTTTGAAGTCTCAACTCTGATTTTATTAAAATCGTATTTAACATTTTTATAATGATGCAAAGCTTCATAAGTATATAAAACTATTCAGCTTTAGTTTTGATCTACTAACCCAAACACATTTTCAAATCTGAATTGAATCCAATTTTCCAAATCAGGAAAATATTTATCTTACTTATTTACTTATTACATACTTGCACAAACCTGTGCTTCCAGTAAAGATTTAGATAAATAAAATCAGTAAAGCTGCACAAGCCATTTATTCTGTTTTTTTAGGCCCCAGATGATTGCCTCATTGGTCTCTGGTTGTTGTGTCAATGGCAGAAACTATATTTTATTAAGAGCTGAGGTGAAACTCAGTGAGCTATGGTGCTGTTAAAAGTATATATCAACCAAAATGAAATACTTTTCCAAAAACATCCTCAATCTAAAGGTATAAATAAACTCAACCTGGCTCTCATGAATACAAAAACAGTCTAATCATATCCTCTTTTTACAGGACGCTAGTTGTAACAAACCCTCAGAGAATTATAACCTCAATCTGTAGCTCCCTTCAGCTGCACAGAGCTTTATAGTTTCAGCTCATTGTTTAATTGTCTGACCCGAAACTTTATCATTTTGGTTCACTCTCACCACTCTGACGTTTGTTTGGTTTCAGTGAAAAAGCTCTAAAAACCCACTTTACTCTAGTTGCTCAGCACCAAACAGCAGACAGACACCGTAAGAGAGGAATGTCTAAAGTTACAGGACGTTTAACTGCTCACCTTCTGCTGATGTGTCTAAATCTACAGGTATAAAATCAACACACACACCTCCCCTGTCCTGTTCCCATTGTGGTTATCTAGTAAATGAGGGAAACAGCTGAATGAACAAACACATGAATCAGTTGGAATTTAACATGGCACTGAACACAACAGAGACAGAAAACAACCACTGAACAAAACCGATAAACAACCATAGAAACCATATAAAAATGTTTTTTAAACTAATTGAAATTACAGCCACATGCCGCAAAATGTGTAAATATGCAACAAACATGCAGTGTGTCTCCTGAATGGATGATATCAGTCATTGATATCTATTTATATTTTTTTATATTGACGTCAAATACCACTTTGGGTTGGTAGCTTAAAGATAGTTGATTATGGAGTCTCATTCCCAGGTCCCAAAGCATTGGTATTTGATACTAAACTATCTTTTTTAGCTCTGATTGGTTGTTTTCGTTCAGATTTGTTTGATTGTTGCAAATACCATAATGAGCACTAGGGGGAGCCAGATGAATCTGTTACTAACTATAGCTTTAAATTATCTGTGTATGTCTTTGTATTATCACACTATTTTGAAAGAACTGTACAGCCGCTGTATTATTATAGGCCCATTCCTTATTGGGTCTTGATTTCTCTGGAAGAAGAAATTACTGTATCTAATGATGTGATTTGTGTAGTGGGGGGTTTTCAGTTTCTTTCCTTATGCATGACAGAAACTGTGCATTGCTGTGACGAGACGCTCTTGTTAGAGATGTAGACCCATAACCACATTGGTTTGACCAAACCAGGTAAATTTTCTATTTTCATAACCACACCTTCCTCTGCGACACATGAACATATCTTACACAGACGTTTCTACAGTCAGGAAAGCAGTTAGCAAGAACATCCTGCAACACAACTTCAAGCGCTGCCTTCGCATTAGTGGTAAGTTTTGATTTTAAAGCAATTACAATGGTCTTAAAACGCACTTTAATTATTTATTGAAGAGGTGTACAACTCTTTTAACCACACCCAAACATATAAACCTTGAAAGTATTTAATTTGTAATTTATATTTGCCACCCAGTGTTGCAATTGATACATTGTACAATATAAAAGGAAATGTTTCAAGAACCTTTAATTATCTTCAATGTATTCTTGTAACTATTTACATTTCCTTTAGGAATGTAAAGTTTATTTCTCTTTTTCATCTAACTAAAATAAGGCCTTTACAAATCAGCAAATTATGATGTTAACTAAAGAGATTACTTTTAGATACACAGATGAAAATATTAGTTGAATGTGATAGGGATTTAGTGATTTAGTGAAGCAAACTTAAAAATAATATTACGGTATTGTACTGTTTCAATCCTCCCATGCATGCTCCATGTTTGTTTTCTGCTGTAGCCAACCATGCTGGCAGCCTTAACTCTGGCCTCCTTGAGCCTCTTGGTGTGGGCGTCTAACCTCTGCCCCCCAACCTGCCAATGTCTCTACAATCTGTCGGCTATAGCGTGTCAGAATAAAGGACTGAACCAGATCCCCAAGCTGCCAGATGGCACAGAGAAGCTGTACGTCTCATACAACGAGATACAGGAAATACCTTGGCGTGGGCTGGAGAAGCTGCAGGTACGAAACAAACTGCAGCGTGTAAACTGTACTTTGTGTGTGATGCTTTTGAAAAATGGTGTAGCACAAACCCTGCAGCAGGATAATATATATATATATATATATGTCCTCCAGTATCTGTCTACTGGTGATATCCTGCAGCAAAATAGTGATAAATTAAAGCTAAATTAAAGAAACATTCTGGTGGTTTTACATAATGTAACATATTAGCTAGAGGTTGTGTATTTGTCCAGTATTTTACAACACATACCTAGTGTTGCCACTAAAGGTTCAGTAGCATGGATAACGTACAGTATCTCAACCATCTTTTAAATCTCTATTCTACCATAGTGAAAGGACACGAATGGCTACCTGAAAGATAGTAAACACCAATAATATATAAGGCTGTTTTGTAGCTTGTTTTGGTGGTCTTCTTCCTCCAAGTGAGAATTAAAGAAGTAGTTCAACATTTTTAGGAAATACACTTTCTTGCCAAGAGTTGCAAGGTTTTATAAGAATTAAGAATGAATACATAACAGACTTCTCTCCTTCTGTCAGGTCCTGGACCTGACTAAGAATCAGCTGAATGTCTTCCTATCCCTCAACCCAGTTTGGCCCAGTATGACGAAGCTGTCTAAGCTCTTGCTACGTGGTAATGGTCTGACGGTTCTACACCCTGGTCAGTTCCTCAACTGCCCTGCTCTCATAATACTGGACCTGAGTGAGAACCAGATCAAATATCTACCAATCGGATTCCTCCGTGGATTGGCTAATCTGAAGACACTGTATGTGAACTTCAACCAGATTCAAATGTTACAGGTTGGTGGATTGGAAGGAGCCTTTGCTCTCGCTGGCCTCTACTTAAGCCATAATAACATAACAAAGATAGAGGAAGGTGTGTTCAAGAACTCAACTGTGCTGGAGAAACTTTTTCTGTCCAAAAACAGAATCACAAGTGTGGATGAGGCCAGCTTCAAAGGAGCGACGGGTCTCCTACACCTCGACCTGAGTGGCAACATGCTGGTCACTGTTCCAGCTGCAGCACTGAGGGATGTAAACAGGCTCAGGCATCTGTATCTACAGTCAAACAGCCTCAGCACCCTTCCAGAGGAATGCTTCTCCTCACTGAGCCTGTTGGTTATTCTATACTTGAGAAACAACAAGCTGACCACTCTGTCTGAGGGATCCCTGAGAGGTCTGACCATGCTGAAAGAGCTGGACCTCAGTGTCAACCTCATAGATTCTCTTCCCTCTAAAGTCTTCAACAACCTGAGCAGCCTTGAGTCTCTTGATTTGTACAGGAACAGACTTACATCTCTTTCTCTGGATGTATTCAGTAACTTGAAAAACCTGAAAGAGCTGCAGCTGGACAGCAATCAGATCTCTGCCATACCAGTTGGGGTGTTTGATCGGCTGTCCAGCCTCAAAGAGCTACAGCTGTCGAACAACAGCATCCAGGAGCTGCACCATACTATTTTCAACAAGCTCAAGTCACTACAGAACCTGTACTTGGAGCACACCTCTCTTAGGCACCTTCCCAAAGGTGTTTTCCACAAGATGAGGAACCTCAAGGAAATACACCTCAGTGACAACCACATCAAGTCTCTACATCCCTCAGTCTTCCATGGTTTGGTGAGACTACATTTGTTGAGTCTCTCCCGCAACCGTCTCTCCTCTCTACACCAGGACCAGTTCAGAGACCTTGTCAGTTTAAAAGAGTTAAAACTAGATGAAAACCGCATAGATAACCTTACCACAGGCCTGTTCATGAATCTAACACATCTTATAACACTGGATCTGGATAACAACCGCATCTCAGAGCTGTCTCCTCATGACTTTGTAAGGTTGACCCGCCTTAAAGAGCTCATGCTGAACTTCAACCAGCTCCATGACATCCCTTTCATCACCTTCTATTTCCTCCACAACCTCCGCAGGCTTATGCTAAATAACAATAGCCTGGACAGTTTACACCCTCAGCTCTTTGCCCGACTTTCAAACCTAACAGAACTCCACTTGGATGGAAACAAGCTGGATCACTTGCCGCCTGATGTATTTCGAGGACTTTCAAATCTCCAGAAACTGAGTCTAAAGTCCAACCGGCTCAGATCAGTGGAGCATGGCACTTTTGAGTTCTTAAGAAACCTGAGTGCCGTCTATCTGTCAGGTAATCTGTGGGATTGCACCTGTGCACATATTGTCTACATCAGCTGCTGGGTCAACACGCACAGAGACAAGCTCCGAGACCAACCCACCTGCTTCCTCGCCTCATCGTCAAACTCCACTTCTTCACGCTCTTCGTACTCACCCTTCACCAGCTCTACTCAGGATACACCGGTCTCGCAGGAAACTCTCTCTCCCCTGTTGTTACAAAATCATTGCATTACAAGTGCTGCAAGTGGCTCATCACCTTCACTTCCTCTGGAAATGCTGAATCTGCTCACATTTGTTCTTGTAGCTGTCAGCCCACTGTGACATCCTTTGTCGCGGTTAAGTCCTCTTCTTTGCTTTTCATGTCTGTTCTTGTCTTCTAAGTATTTGCACCACAATCTCAATGTATTGTTAGTCTGAATACTACTGTGTGAGATTCATTCAAGGAAAATTTACACTAGAATAACATGATCCTGCAAAAGTGTAATATTTGAAAGCATTAAGAGGATTCTTGCAGAACTGAGAAATAACGCTTAAGACAATTAAATCTGGGTATATTAAACGTGAATACAAACATTTATGTTTTGGTATGCAAATTCTAGCACAAATACCTCAACACTGGACATCATGGACTTCTAGTGACTCCTGGTTTTGTATCTTGATGATATTATGAGTTAGAGTCTTACTTAAAGGCAGTGAGGGTTGAGCATGTGTTCATAAATACTGTGAAAATAATTGTCGAGTGTGTTTGTGTGTGTGCATTTGATTTGGACAGCATACCACTCAAAAAGATTTTAAACTCTTTATGCTTCTTCCCTACGGAAGCCCTAAAGGGCCATGCATTCATACATTTTATTTCCTCCGTTTTCCCGTGATAATTTTCTCGAGATCTTATTAAAGTGTTTCATGCGCCCATGATGAAAAAAAACATACTTAATATCAAGCATTTCTACTGCACCAATGTGGAGAAATACCACAACAAAAGTTCCATATTTGTACCTCCAAGTGGCATCTTTTCATATATTTGAGGTACTGTAAAAACAGGTACAAATATGGAATTTAATTGTTGTATTTCTCCAAATTGGTGCAGTAAAAATGCTTGATATTAAGTATACTTGTATTCTTGTATGTGTAGAAGTCAAATATACCATCCATAGCCAGGAATTATTGAGCAATATGTTTTTACAGGAGGAAATAAAATGCATGAATGCATGGCCCTTTAGGGCTTCCGTGTCTTCCAATGCATTGTAAAAATCGATAAAATAAAACTCACAAGGTTTAAATTTCAATGTTTATCAGTTTGACTCACAGTCACAAAGTTGAGATATAACAAACATACACTCCACAAGAGAAGTTACAGAGGAAACATTCTGAACATCAGTGAGCACATCAGCTCTAATAAAGCACTCGAGGCAACTTTGTTTCCAAAAACTCACAGTTGTATTTAATTTATCTTATTAGAGAACATCATCTGAAACCGTGTTTGGAAAAAGGACAGGAAAGCACTTTTCAAGTTGGTTAATAAATGTCAGTCTTACAACTTCAAAATGGTTGTTTCAAAATCATGAATCTTATTTAATATCTGTCAGCAAAATACTGATACATTTTAAGTGTGGCTGGTAAGACTGTTTATGACTCCTCTAGTAATTCAGGACTCTGACAATAATGACTGACATTTTTAAATCTATTTGCCACAATTTCATTTAAAGGGATGTCTCTTCTTACAATTGTGCTGTTAAGTCTAATTCTGTTGGCTTTTTGTTGTAGTACCGAGTTGCAGCTTGACCTGATTTATTTCGGGTTCTTCTGTATAACAAGCTGACTGTAACGTTTTTAAACTTTCACCCAGACATCTGCCAGCAAACTCTGCTTACAAATATATTCAAATAAAGAACTAAAAGGCTCTCGGTTCATGCAGATTCCTCCATGATACTTTTGTCTTTACGTTGTCCATTAAGACACACTTCTTCTTTTCATGATCTCTTGTACCTTATTCCAGCTGTCATACCTGTTTGACTCACTGCAAACAGGTAAACGCCTTAAAGGTCCAGTGTGTAACATTAAGAAGGATCTATTGGCAGAAATGGAATATAATATACATAAGTATGTTTTCATTAGTGTATAATCTATTCTTTCTCCTACACACTTCATAGCGTGTTCTCATTCTCAGCCTGTTTAATACAGATCGGTGTTCAGTTAGTTCCAATCTGCTACACACTGGTCCTTTAAATTTATAACATAACAAGGTGCATCTATCCCCACCTCCTTTCTGAGGATAGCTTGGTTGTGAAACAAAACAAATCTGGTAGACTCAACTTCATAATCACCAAAACCACTGTCACTGCAAACTCATCTTTTATTATCCATCCAGTCATTTATTCCTCAACAGGTACTGGGAAGGCTACATCATCCACTCTGCCACCAGGGCAGGTGTCTCATCACAGTTTAGCTTCACACATAGAAACACTTGTGGTCCTTCAGGTTCCTCAGGTAGGAGAAACTCTTCCCACACTTGTCGCACATGAACTGTTTCTCCCCGGTGTGTATCTGCTGGTGGGCTTTCAGGCTGTTGCCCTGGTTGAAGCTGCGGCCGCATGTGTCGCAGCTGAATGGCTTCTCCCCAGTGTGGATACGCTGGTGTCTGTTCAGGTTGCCCGTGTTGCTGAAACATTTCCCACACGTGTCGCAGCTGAATGGTTTCTCTCCTGTGTGGACCACCTTTAAAGAGGAAGGTTAAAAGTAAAGCTGTAAAATCATTTTTATATGTAGGATCTGAACTGTTGAGTCCTGTATAAGGATTTAAACCACATTGGGACATAAAGTGTTCATACTTGCTTGTTAGGGTTACAATGGTATGAGGTTATCATGGTCAGGTATCATGGTTTCACTGTATTACAATCATTATTATCATTATCATCAGTTACAGTGACCTTCAAAGGTGTGTAGGATTTAGCAGCCTGAATACGGCCTAAGTACTCTTCTACATCACTGCAGCAAGAGCTCACTCTTCATACACTGTAGGTAGCAAAAACAAGGGTTGCTGAGGTGCTTTTTAATAAATGTATAAACACAGAAATTATATTTGAGATTTTTGATTAAATTGTGCTTCTGTTAGCTCTATTTTTTCATTATATAGAACCATAAAATATCTTGGTTATATCTGGAATGAGTCCCACCTTCTTTTGAGTGGCTCAAACATGGATGTTGCTACAAACCATGTAGTGTGTAGACTGTGATTGGGATATCTTTCCACTTACACAGCCCCTCTTGTTGAACCTGTGCAGTACAAAAACAAGAATCAATGCAAACCTACCTGATGTGATTTAAGGCTGCTGTGCTGTGTAAACATGCGACCGCAGATGTCGCAGGAGAACGGCCTCTCCCCGCTGTGTGTCTTCAGGTGAATCTTCAGGTAACTGGACGACTTGAAACTCTTCCCGCAGAGACCGCAGCTGTGAGGTCTGTCCACGGTGTGGTGCTGCTGGTGTGAGCGCAGGTCGGTGATGGAGCTGAGCCGCCGGCCGCATAGCACGCACGTGCACGGAATAGTCGCCGAATGCGTCTGGAGGTGTTTGCGAAGCGAGTCCACGCAGGCCACTGTAGTGCCGCATGCCACGCATGCCAGCGAGTTCTCCCCTGAGTGAGAGGTCTTCTGGTGCATCTTCAAGGCACTCTTCTGGATGAAACATTTGCCACAGGTCTCGCAGTTGAAGGGTCGCTCACCAGTGTGTATCCGCTGATGGCCTTTCAGAGTGTCAGCCTGGTTGAAGCTTTTGCCACAAGTCTCACACCTGAACGGCTTCTCCCCCGTGTGTATGCGCAGGTGGCGCTGCAAGTTACCTTGTATTGTGAAGCTTTTGTTGCAGTACTGGCAGTTATAGGCCCGCTCTCCCGTGTGGACCATCTGATGCATTTTCAGGCCGTGGGCTCGGTAGAAGCTCTTTCCGCACTGTTCACATCGAAACGGCCGAACCTCAGCGTGGAGACGCTGGTGGTTCCTCAGGAGCTGCTTCAGGGTGAAACCCTTCCCACAGACATCACAGGTGTGTGGTCTCTCACCTGTATATGGGAGCAATAAGTATTTTAAGAGTAAAAGAATATGGCCTACATCCAGACACATGCTTTTTAAAGCTCCCCTTATAAACATTTTTCATGAATCAAATGACAGAATGTAATGTGAAAGGGGTTTCAGCCACCCTGTTCTGCAGCCCTACTGAGCGACTGAGCACCCTCATTGTTTTGATAAACCTGTCAGCAGACAATGGCAGACAAAGTTAGTGACTCACTGGTGAAGGAAATGGAACATCGAGTGAATATTGAACTTCAGAAACACACAAATGAATGCTAATGTTGCTGTATATATGTGTATGTGTATATGTAAATATGTTTCCTGTGTGTGTTTATGGATGCAAACATAGCAACTTTTTAAGGCAGTATTACGTCAGGGCTGTTGGTTTGACATAAAGCTGAACACTCACCTGTATGAAGCAGCATGTGTGCATTGAGGCTTCGCTGGAACGAGAAGCCTCTGCCGCACTGAGTGCAGTGGAAGGGCTTCTCTGCATTCGCTCCGTGGACGGCCTGGTGGGCTTTGAGCTGCAGCAGCTTGGTGAAGGTCTTCCTGCAGTGTTTGCAGCTCAGAGGCTGCTGGTTCTGACTCTGACCCTCCTTCTTCGCTCGGCCTCGATGGGACTTGGGCTTTACAATACGTTTGGGTCTGGTGGTGTATCCTGGGTCACCGTCATCTGGATCTTCTGGCTCCAACTAAAAGAAACCATTTATAAATTGTTAATTCATTTCCTTAAACCCACTTTTCCTGGTCATGGTGGACTAATGGTAAGCCCAGCATGCATAGATAGATAGATAGATAGATAGATAGATAGATAGATAGATAGATAGATAGATAGATAGATAGATAGATAGATAGATAGATAGATAGATAGATAGATAGATAGATAGATAGATAGATAGATAGATAGATAGATAGATAGATAGATAGATAGTGAAATCAACCTGGTAGTCTGGGTCGTCACCATCATCCTGGCCCGGGTCATCTCTGTACTGACCAGAATCAGAGGACGCCTGGTCAGCCAATGCCTCCAATCCTTCCTCCTTTATTATCACAGGTTGGACACTGTCCTGAGAGGAAGAGAGAGTATGGAGAGATTTAACAGTCAAAACACAGACAACACGGTGACTGGGTGGAACTAATAAAAAGATATGGGTACTTTTGGTGTGGGTGTTTTTCATGGTTCGGTATCGGTCCCTTAATTCGAATTAGGGGAAATCTTCAGTTACAGTGTACAATGGTATTTTAGACAACAGTGAACAGTTCGAGGTAGAACCTTTTTAACATGAGAATGCCCTCATGCACAATACCAACTCAACAAAGAAATGGTTTTCTGGCTTTTATGGTTTTAATGGTTGACTGGCCTGTCAACCCAACATCTTTGGGATGAACTGGGGCAGCTGTGAGCCAGAACTCATCTCCCAACACCAGTGTTGGACCTCACTAATGCTCTTGTGGCTAAATGAGTGCAATTCTCTGCAGCCAGATTCTGAAATTGTGTTGAAAGTCTTCCCAGAATAGTTACAGCAGCAGATGCCCACGTTCATATTTGGGTGTAATGACAGTGTTTCTGCATACTTTTGGTCATGTAGTTTAGCAATAAAACAATACAAAAAGATACAAAATAACTTAAATTGCATTCTTTGATGTTATATGTTTTAGTTGGCCATATTCATTTAGAAATATGTCCTGTTTGTGCTCTCTGTTTCATGACTGTGTGAGAAACATGTGAGGAATTTAACAGGAAGTGGGAAAGAGAGACCAGTATAAAGCCCAATTCAACCTCAACACAGACGAGACAAGAGTTTTACCTCATAAGTTCGGCCTTTCCAGAGGTGAATTATAGGTGATCTCTTCACTCCAGCATCACCACCAGCCACAACTGTAAATAATAAAAAAAAAAAGGGTTGTTTATCAGTATTTCTGTGGCAATTTCTGACAGAGAAACATCGGAGACGCAGCACATAAAATGATCTAAAGGAGTTTATTATTATCTTGCGGATATGTGAAATGCATTTTTCATATGCTGCTCAGTTGCACAAAAACAAAAGACAACAGCAGTTAAGTAAAATCTATGGGCCTATTTATTCTAATCAACTTTAAGTTGTAAAGTAAATGTAGTTACTGTTCCTCACATTTGTACAGTAATGGAAGAAGTATTCAGATCCTTTAATATGTAAAAGTAATAATAACACAGTTTAAAAGCAGCAAAAAAGCATTAAAATATACTTAAATATATAGATGACTGGATTGCAGTTAGTGATGCATTCATGTGTTCATCGCTTTATTGTTGCGGCTGGTAAAGTTTGGGCTAATTTTAAGATCTTAATATGCTGCTGGGTAGTTTATCTTATATATCAGAATTCATTAGTTGATTCATATTTTGTATTAATAATCTCAATCTGGAAAGAAACTAGTAACTAAGTATCAAATAACTGCAGTGGAGTTAAAAGTATAATATTTAACTCCAAGTATCAAGTAGCATGAAAGTAAAGTGACAGACAAGTCCCTCAAACTTGTGATTAACAATAGTGTACAATATCAACATATCTCAAGGATAAACTCATCACCTCTCCGGCTCTTCCTCCCTGAGCGCTGGCTCTGGACAGGCTCTCCTTCTGCTCCATTGGTCGGAGTCTTCCTCCCCTGCTTCGGTCGGCTGCTTTCCTCCGTCAGCTCCTCGGCTGCGCTCTGACCTCCGCTGCCCTCCAGCACCAGCTTCAGCTCCGTCTCTGCCACCTCCAGTCTCCTCCTCAGGTCCTCGATCTCTGCAACACCCTGTGTCACCTACACAGACAAACCTAAGCTTTTTAAACACAAATCACTTTGTAGCTATCTGGTTTTCCACTGGAATTGGGTGCTATGATGGTATATATACATTATTTAAATAATATTTTGAACTGCTATATGTTTTGTTTTTATTGTAAACTTTCTCCGGCTGGCTGAATCATCCTGTCATATTATTATAACATTATAAACACTGACAGTAAAGCCTTAAACCTATTATGAAGTGATAAAGAAACTGCATCAGAGACAAACAGAAAAACCACAGACTGAAGAAAACAGTTGCTTCTCACATTTGTGCATCACAGTATTTATTTGTGGTATCTGCAACTATTTTGATAATCAATACTGTTGATATCTTTAGCTCTTGAACAGTTGGCCGTGAGAAATAAGCAATTTAAAGGACTTTAGGAAGTTGTAATGGAACTTTTAAACTATTTTCTGATGTATTATAGAGCCATCCATTAAGCAATTGATCAGGAAAATGATCAGATAATGAAAATAATCGTCTTCATTAAAGGTCTATGAAGGAAAAGTTGATGTGTTGAAAGTCGTTCTTTCACAGATGAATTAATGCCCCTGCAGAACACATATCATATGCATAAGTTCTGAATATTGAGGCTAAATGTAAAAATTGTAATGCCTGACATGTAGAGATATATTTTAATAAGAAATTAGAAACTCAGCATCAGGAAAACATGCTGATATAAGATCCTGATATGATGACACCCTTTAAAAAAGTACATTTATTTCCCCAACATTACGGCTGCAACACAAACACAGCAACGTACCTCCAACTGCAGCAGAGAGGAGCACTCGTGGAAAAGCTGGCAGATCTTCTCCACAGCTTCTCGAGCCAGAGACGTCATGAAGACGCTAAACTGGATCACCTGACGGGAACAACACGGATCACTGTTAGCTGGCAGAAACACACTGAAAAATGAAGTGATAAGATAATCAGGGAGAGTAATACTTCTACTATAGAGTAAGAGCTTATTAATCCTCTAATAATAATAAATAATGCACTCAGGAGATATAGAGGACCATTATTCTTATTATAGGTTATATCTTATGGTGAAAAGTCTTTTGTTACATCCCAACAACAATCACACTAATTGTCTCTGTGGGAATACAGAATATTATTCACATTATATAATTCACATCTATTACTTAAAGTTACTAAAAGATAAAAGTGTAAAGTCCAACATTCAATAAGTTGGCTACTATTAGTAAATAATAATAATAAAATAAGTATCAAATGTATATAAGTCAGCGCACACACAGACTTCCAGGACAAAGTTGTATAATCTCAATTTTACCAGTTTATTTTGGCTGTGTCAGATAAACAAGATAAACAAGAGTTAAAGTAGAAGTATTATAAAATACAAGTAGGTCTACCTCAAAATCATACTTACTCCTTCCAACCATTAGTTCTCACAGTAGTTTTTAATTAGCTGCACAATAAATCAAAATATTATCAATATAACTTTTCTTCTTTATTTGGCACAGACAAACAACATAATCATGATTTTAATAGTTTTTCAGTTAAAATTAAATTTGTGAATCATAATGATAATTCCCAGTAATCGTGAATCATGTCGCAATATCTGTTAAAATAATATTAAAATGATGTTTTCAGTATATCGTGCAGCCCTAGCTATAATCAGTGGTTCTCATACATCGTCTCCTACATTATAATTCATTATTATAATATTATATTATTATTTATTGATTGATTTGAATGTATTTAAGATGTCCACGTGACAAAAACAGAAAACATTCACTTTTCTTAACCAAAATATCTTATTAGACTCATATCTACACATAAAATACTTATTTCAGCACCCTTTGTACTCTGTCTACTGTCTACAATGTTTGTTTACATATATGTATAACTCTATATAACTGCACATATAAGTCTGCGTCTTTTTTGTTGGACTTGTTCTGTTTATTTATGCTGTTATTAATCTGTGTTTGTACACATTGAGATATCAAATTCCTTGTATGTGCACATTTACCTGGATCATAAAAGTGATTCTGATTCAGACAACCAAAACAAATCAGGGTTCTTCACTTTAGATTCAGACAGACAGAATTAAATTCATCCTCAGTGACATTATAATTGGTATTAATCACCTGACAAAGCAACTTTTAACTAAAGTTTAAATATAAATGTAGAGAAAAGTTAAATATTTTGCCTCTAAAATGTCACATAAAGAGGAAACACTCAAGTAAATTACCTCAAAACTGAACTTAAGTAAAGCAAATGGATACTTCCCACCACTGTAAACAACTGTAAACACCTGTAAACACCTGTAAACAACACAGGTGATCAATAAGTTGTGTGTAACTTGTCGCTGTCTGTAGACATACAGCAGATAGATGCTGCACGACTCAAAATGGCGATCAAAGATGGATTCTAGTCGGTTGTTAGGCTCCCTTCATCGACCAGACGCACATATTTAAATGTAATCAATAATCAATAATCACACACACACACACAGCACATCAGCCCCGCAGCGACTGTTTATCCGACTTAAAGCAGATAGCTAGCTCTTCTATTTCTATGATCAGCTGCTCGTTTAGACGCCTGAAGAAGAAGAAGAGGAGGAGGAGGAAGAGGAGGAAGGAGGAGGAGGAGGATGTAACCGACAGCAACCACCGGCTCATTAACGTTACCGTACCGTCTCCGCCGACGACCCGTGAGTGTGTCCGGTCGCACGTGAAGACACTTCGCCGGTAACTTTGCTCATTTCTGAGACACCCGCGTTGACCATTATCTCCAAAATGGCGCCCACCTGCGCCTCCAAATCTGACATAGTGACAGATTAATGTGTCCGCTGTAAATGTTGGTTTGACTTCTATAGTTTTTATATATATATAAATATAAATATAAATATATATATAATGAAACAAACAGCTTTTGGTGCGACAATGTTGTCGTTGTGGGGAACTCGTCCCACTCACAACACAGATCTCATTTCCTCTTCCCAGTTCAGGTTCTTCAAAATAAAAGCACGCATACTCCCATACAGTCCCTTCAGCAGCGTTCACTCATTATTGTTATATTACAGTAATTATATTATTTCCCCCAGTAACTAGTAGTGTAACTCATTACTAATAAGTTAAAGTAATAATAATACAGTTACCCCCCCAAAAAAATAATTATTTTTGTTGTCACCAGCCTACTAATTTGTTTCAAATCCACATCCTTGGATTCATTTTCTTGTAATCGTCGAAGAAACTAGTTTGGAAGATGGAAACAGCTGGAAATATTCACATTACTTTGATTTTAACCAGCAAAACTGAATTTTAATTGTTACACGTCTGGATTTTGGGAGAGAAAGGACACAATTACTAATTTTGTGGGGAGTAGCAGAGAAGTAATATAACTAGAAGTGTAACTAATTTGCTGTTGCCAAGGAGTAATAAGTAAAGTAATAGTATTTATATATTATATATTTTTGTTAGTTACTAGTCTAACACTGAATTAGAAGTAGGGCCATAATACTACTGGTGGTGTATTTAGAAACACGAGTGTTTGCTGCCACAGTTAGGAACTGAAACACTACAATACAGTCGTGTTAATTAGGCTAATCAATATTAATATCAATGTGTGAGGTGATAATCTGTGTGATTATAACAAATAATAACAGTAACATCAGCATTATTAGTGTCTGCTGCCCTCCAGTGGCCACAGTGAGGAACTACACCAACACAAAGCCAAGTTAGATACAATAACAGGAATATTTCTGGTAATTACTTTCAAATTTAACACAAGTCACCAAACTATAACAAAAGTTCAACATATTTTATTCAAATTATATATTATTATATTATTATAAAATCTTTTTTTTATCCTTTTAAAATAAAAGCAACACATTATCGCTGGAAAGCTGTTCAGAAAAACTATTTTAAATTTGGATTTTAGTTTTATTCAGACATTAATTTACTTTGTTTTGCTGTTTGGATTATTAGAAAATATAATCCAATATTTTTATTTTTTTAAAACAACCTTTATTTAAATGCAGAATTCTTGTTGTTGTCTATCTGCTGGCTGTATGTTTAGTTGAGGGCACTTCAAAGTGTACAATTACACATTTCAAGTTTTCAGACGTTTTGCTGCTGAGACTCTAGAAACAACAATATATATATATATACACGATAAAAAGACGCCAGAAACATTTAAATAATCCTTTAAAATTGTGGCCAGTTTAGTTACAACTCTCATAATAAACAATAAACATTTTCAAAGCGTAATTCTTCAACCCAATGACAATCCAGTGATTCAGCTAACAATGCTAAACCGGTTTCCAGGACTACAGGTAAGAATACAAAGAGACGACTACTGCATCGTCATTATTATCCCCAGGTGCTCAGTCCAACATTTTCTGGTATTTCTCAGTACAGTTATGTTTCTTGAGGAGCCTCGAGTCTGAAAATCCAAGTCCGCAGCCGCTGCAGGAATACGGTTTCTCTCCCGTGTGTACCTGCATGTGAAACTTCACGTGTCCGAGCTGCCTGAACCTCACGCCGCAAACCTCACACTCGTAGGGCTTCTCCCCCGTGTGGACCCGTAAGTGTCGGAGGTAGTTGGTGTAGATCCTGAAGGCCCTGCCGCACTGCTCGCACTTGTGCGGTTTCTCTCCGGAGTGCTGCAGTTTGTGGGACTTGAGAGCCTGAAGGATGATGAACCTCTTCCCGCACACGTCACAGGCGTACGGCCGCTCGCCGGAGTGGACCCGTTGGTGGTAGTCGAACGTCGCTTTGTAGAAAAAAGACTTCCCGCACGTGTCGCAGTTATGTTGCATCTGACCCGTGTGGATGAGCTCGTGTCTCTTCAGTGAACTCGCCGTGTCGAAGCCCTTGCGGCAGGTCTTGCAGCTGAACGGCGTCACGTCGTCTGTCGTGCGGTCCCGCCGATAGATGACTGTGCGGTTACCTCGCTCTCGACTCCGTCTTCTGATGACGCGCCCGTGTCTTTCATCGTGAGCTACCTTCTGGTGTTTCTGCAGCTGGCAGTTGTAGAGAAACGTCTTCCCACACAGGTCACACATGAAGGACTTTGAGGCACCGTGAAGGAGCATGTGGGCTTTCAGCTTGTTGTCCTGAATGAAACTCTTCCCGCAGACTTTACATTTGAAGGGTTTTTCCCCCGTGTGAATACGAATGTGTCTCTTCAGGTTGTGCTGAAGGGTGAAGCCCGCTCCGCACGTCTCACACGTGAACATCTTCCCTCTGTGGACCGACTGGTGCGTCCTGAGCGACCGCCTCTTTACGAAAGCTTTGCCGCACACCGTGCATTTGTACGGATGCTCGCCAGTGTGGATGCTCCTGTGGCACTGCAGCGTGAACGCGTACCTGAAGCTCTCCCCGCACTCGGAGCACTTGTGCGGCTTCTCCACCGTGTGCACGATCTGATGAGCCTGCAGGTTGTGCTTCGTTTTGAAGCCCTTCCCGCAGGTGGAGCAGACGAACGGCCTCGTGTCCGTGTGCACGAGCTGATGAGTCTTCAGGTGCATTTTGGTTCTGAACGTCTTCTCACAGAGCGGGCACTTGAAGGTAGCGTGCTTCTTCTCCTCGTGCCGCAGCAGGTGGTACTCAAAGGTGGCGGTATTCCTGAATTTTCTGGGGCACTGGTCGCAGGTGAAAGGCCTCTGTTCTTTGTGAGTGTTCATGTGCTTCAGCAGGTGAAACTGCCGGTTGAAGCTCTTGTTACAAACATCGCATACGAACACCTTCCCTTTCTTCCGGACTCCTGCTGCCTGCGTGATTTGGCTGTCAGTGTTGTTGGATTCGGACGTGTTTGTTGTGGTATAATCCAGCGCGGTGTCTAGACGGTAGTGGAAAACACTAAAGTTACCACTCAGGTTCAGAGTTTTTATAGTAAAGGGAAACATTGTGGCACATAAATCCTTTTGAAGTGTTGAGTTTCAGACTGTGAATCACCGACCACCTACATGTTTACTAGACTTTTTCTCTGTATTAAACCAATTAAAGATCTCACCTCGTCTATTGGCTGGTGAGGACTCAGCTTCAGAGTTCACCTCCTTTGTTGCTTCTCCTCCATCTGAGCACGAACTTAATACTAAAGAATACAAACAAACACACATTAATCATACTGTACGTGTCCAGTAATAATATATACGCTGTGTGGGTTTAAACACAATATTTTTCTGGTGCTGTGAAATCATAATGCTCTTAATGATACTGCATAATAATTTTAGATTTACACAGTTTCCTGTCAGATAATCAGAAATTAAACTCTTTATCTTTTTTAAGAATAGCAATAACTGCAGCCACTGTGTTAGAAGTACAGTGACCTCCCTGTATCAGTGTGGTTTAATGAGCTATTATATCTTCTGTTCTTTATGGAATAAATACACATAATTTAAGGAAAACCCCCAAATTAATTATTAAGTTTGGAGCAACCTGATAGATTTCTTGGAAAAACCTATTCCAGTTGCTGAGAGGGTGTTTTAAATCATTATTTTCCCGTTTTGAGTGTTAATGTTGATATATTTTATCTCTGTTTGATCAGATACCATGTGAAACTTGCTTAATATGAAGTAATTTTCCACTTTTTTTGTGTGTTTGCTGTTTTTTAAAATAGAAAATAAAAGAAAGAAAACATTAATTCCCCCACAGAGGATCATTTATTGCCTGAACTCACCACTCTTTGCATCTGTAATTATAGTACTCAGGCGTTTTAGAAAAGTAAAAGAAGTAATAGCACGGTGTAAAAATACTCTTGTTACATTTAATATGTGGGGGAAAAAAACTTCTGCGTCTGTAGACAAACACGTCTCATTCTAAGGGAACAAAACTTAATGATTCCTACATTCAGGTGATTATACACTGAAGAAAAGAGAGCAGTTCCTGACCAGCATCGTGTCCGCTCTGTATCCCAGCGGCAGGCGACGATTCTGGGAAAGTTTCTGTCTTTCTTTTTAACTTCCCGAACGGCTTCAAGGTGAAGATCAGGCCGCTCTGCTCGAACAGAACCGGGCAGCCGCTCAGAACATTTTCCCTCCACATTCTGGCATTTTCAAAGCTCTCGCTCACAGTCCTCAGCTCGCTCTCCAGCTGTCCCACTTTGGCCTTCAGAGTCTGGTTTTCGTCGCACAGCATCAAGGACAGCTGGGAGAAAATGGCGCTGATCTTTCTGGTTGCCTCCCGTGCCAGCATTTCCACAATGTCGACAAAATCAGGCTGTGAGGATTAAACGCAAACACCATTTTGTTATAAAAGAGCTATTAGATAAAAACATGGATTTATGGTGGACACAAGGTATCTGCTGCGATACCTCCACAATCTGCCCCCACTAATGAGTTCATTTAATATAATTGTTGGATAAAATCATTATTTAAGATAAATACACTGGTTGTAAAGTTTAAAAAGTACTTAATATACAGATTAAAGGCGCTTTGTGAGGGATTTTATCTACATACCTGACACAATTAGCTGACAGATAAATAAAGATGCATTGAAAGTAAAATACTGGCACTTTCCTCTTCAGTGTTAATATTAAATTTAGATCTTTAGTAGTTAATTATACACTTTAATAGAGATGTGACAACTGTCTGCAAAAGGAAGATTCATAAATAATCCCTGTAAGATATATTTCTAATATAAACCCAGGACTAAACAAAAGTAATGTTCATACAACTATCAGATTTTTAGACCAGTTGTGTTTTTGTAATTCATCTTTCCTTTTTCCTACATTTTGTTATTTGTTGTACAGTTTAATTTCCTTTTATATTGATTTTATACTGTATGTAGCCTGTACACTCACTCATATTATCCATGAATTTAATTAACTGCATTGTCTCGATAAAGGCGGTTAACGCAACGTCTTATTTTAACAGACGCCATTAATTAAAAAAAAAACAAAAAAACAACAGAAAACTGTACTTTATCAACCCAAAATAAGAACAGTTGTTAAACCGTTAACGCCAACGTCCACCTTCTTGTGTTGCCCACTTTATTTTCCCCAATCAGAACTTTATCTTAACAGTTTTTAGCAAGCCACTCTCTATACGACGACAGTCCGCCATCTTTGTTTGGTTGGCCGTTACGCTACCCTTCTCCTCGGTTTCTTCCCGGCGGCACCATCTCCCCCAACTGCAGCATTTCTGACCCGCTGGACGAAGTTACGTTCATATAGAAACCGTTGGCTCACCTTACGTCAGTTACGTTCATATATAAACCGTTGGCTCACCTTACGTCAGTTACGTTCATATATAAACCGTTGGCTCACCTTACGTCGCACACTCCGCTCCTTGGTGTTATGGTCTTCTTTCGACTTTCCGATAACATCGACAGCGGTCTTAATGGCTGTCTCCACGATGGACTTTGTTTGTGAATAAAACACCAAGTTTTCTGACATTTTACCGTTAAAAGTTAACCGCTATTCAACGGCGCAGACAAATAGCCGGGCAGTTAGCGCCATTGATTCCGGAAATGGAAGTAACACAGGGGTTAAATCCTCCTTCAAAATAAAACTCTTAACAGCTGCTTCGATTGCAATTTTTTTTTTTTTTTAATTGCAATAACAAAAAAAAAAAAAAAAAAAAAAAAAAAACATATATACGGTGCCATTTTATAGAGATCTGTACATTAAAAACTAATTTTACAATTCCAATTTTTACTTGAAAATAATTAAATCTTAATGGCATTCTATCGGTCTATTGTGAATTAACAAACATAAATTAATATAAAACAAATCTAACATCTTATAAACTCATCCTGGTGAAGAAAAATATATGAGTTATTTTCAGCAATTGAAGTCCTAAAACATGTCTTCAAAACAATAACCTGGCATCCTATCTGCATTTATGTTCACACTATCTTTAGAGGTAACTTACTCTCAATACCTCTTCTTGGGGTTTCACTTTGTGATTTTTAAATGACTTCAGTGTTTTATAAAAAAAGGTACACAGTAGCATCTGTGTTTTCAATGTTTTCTGTAGCTGAGACTATTGAAACAAAAACAAGAAATCTCACTATAAATGCCACAAACAATGCTGCTAACTCCTACTGTGAATACTCTGAATTAGAGTAGAGCTGTGACTACTTTTACTATCAATTACTGAACGAATTACCTTTGATTAATCCCTTTTCTCTAGCATATCGAGACTAATGAGTCATGTGAGAGTTACCAGAGCCCTGAAGTATTAAAACTCCTTTGTTTACTAACTGTCAAAACAAAAGCTTAAGGTTTACAAAGACAAACAAGCATCCCTTTGCTACTGTGAAGCTATCCCAAGCAAATGTTTTGTATTTTTTACTTAATGATTGCAACAACTGACCATAAGTTTTCAAAACTGGAACTTTACCAGCTCTCAATATTTTCAGCACAAAGGCACTGAGTCACACACAAGTCATTTTCTATCCCTTAATGCTGCTGTCCCATTTATGACTTCATTCGATTAACCAGCTGAGCGTTCTGGTGGACGCCACGTCACCTATGAGCCGTCACAGCTGTGCTTCTTGAGCTGCCTGGAGTCAGAGAAGCCCCGGCTGCACTGCTGGCACGTGTAGAGCTTCTGCCCGGTGTGGACCTGCATGTGGGACTTGAGCTGATTCGACTGGTGGAACTTCCTCTCACAGTACATACATTCAAACGGCTTCTCCCCCGTGTGGATGCGCACGTGTCTGTAGAAGTTTCCGTCTGTCCTGAAGGCCTTTCCGCACTGGTCGCACTTGTACGGTTTCTCACCGGTGTGAATCCGCTCGTGCGCCTTCAGACTACCGGCGTTGAAAAATCTCTTCCCGCACACATCGCAAACAAACGGCTTCTCCCCCGAGTGGCTCCTCTGGTGATAGCTGAAAGAGTATTTGTTATGGAAAGACTTCCCACATATGCTGCAGTTGAACTCCTTCTGCTCACTGTGGCCCTTTTCGTGAATTTTGAGAGAAGACGCGGCGCTGAAACCTCTCAGACATATTTTGCAGCTGAACGGTTTAACCGAGGACTTGTTTCGCCCTCTCGTCTGGAGAAATCTCTGTGTGCCGTCGGATTCCTCGTTCCTGTCGGCGTGCACGTACCTCTGATGGATCAGCAGCCTGCAGTTGAAGAGGAAGGTCTTCCCGCAGAGATCACACATAAACGGTTTTCTGGCCCCGTGGATGAGCATGTGGGACTTCAGCTTGGTGTTGTCCGAGAAGCTCTTTCCACACTCCTGGCAGGTGAACGGTTTCTCTCCTGTGTGAATGCGAAGGTGCCTCTTGAGGTTGTTATTGAGGCTGAACCTCGCTCCACATATGTGACAGGTGAACGGTTTCTCCCCGGTGTGGACTATGCTGTGTCTTTTCAGAGCGGTGCCGGTCCTGTACGACCGGTTGCACACGGTGCACTTGAACGGAGTGACGCCCGTGTGCTTCCTCTTATGCACAGTCAGGGAGTGCGCATATTTGAAAGTCTCCTCGCACATTGTGCACTTGTATTTTTTGGCGTTCGTGTGCACCATCTGGTGGAAGCGAAGGGTGTCTTTACTCTTGAACTCCTTCCCACATGTTGCACAGCTGAACGGTCTCTCCTCGGAGTGCACGGCCATGTGACATTTCAGGTGAACCGACGACTTGAAGGTCTTGTCACAAAGCTGACACTTGAGCATTTGTTTCCTCTTCTCGTGGCGCAACAGGTGGTTTTCCAGGGATGGTTTAATCCGGAACGTTTTCCCACACTGATCGCAGGTGAACGGCTTTGGCGGTTTCGACCGCTCGTGGCGCTTCAGGTGGTTCTGAAGCGACTGCTCTTTTCTGAACGATTTCTTACACTGATGACAGGGGAAGGGCAACGGGGCTTTACTCGCCTCGTGACGCAAAAGGTGATTTTCCAGAGACTTCTTTTCGAGGAAACTTCTGCCACACTGCTCACAAGGAAAAGGCTTCTTGTGGACCTTCATGTGTTTCTTCAGTTCGCCTTTCCAATGAAAACTGACGGCACAGTGCTCACAGGAGAACCGCTTCACTGTCCGCGACTCTTTGTTTTTAAACCTTTTTCCCGGCACTCCAACTGACTGGATTTTTTTCTCCTCAGCGCTGTTGTCAGTGGAAACTGGAAATGGAGGACAGAAATTTAAATAATTAGTCTATTATTATTATTATTATTATTATTAGATTTCATGTGTCCTCTGACCTATTCGAGTTCCTTTCCAAACTTTAATATTATGATCACATCAAAAGAAGCAACAGGCTGAAGGTTAATCGTACCTTCTTCACTTTTAGAGGTTGCTCTCCTGGTCCTCCTCGTTCTCCCTGAAGGTGCCTCTTCTGCAGATTTCTGTGATGCAAAAGGAAAGAAAAATTTGGATTAAAAAGTTGGTTGTACACAATTACAATCAGCACCCCAAAAGTGAGAGGTTTAATTCCTAAGGATTACATTCCTGTTTATATGGAAACTGGAAACATTTGAGAATAATTCCCGACTCTGTTGCTTAAAGACAGCAGCACTACACTTAAAGTGCATACAGTATCTCCACCAGGGTCGGAAATAAACACCACTGAGATACAGCTGACAAGTATACAGGCACTTTGCCAGGTCCAAACCAGTATCATCTTATTTTTAAAACAAAAACAGCACAGGAAATTTTTAAGACATTGTTCATTCTTCAAGACAAATCTAAATCTACAGAGTTAAACCTCAGACAGCACGGAGACAACCGACCTTTTCCTGTGTTGAGTCGATACCACTGACGATGCTGGAGTCTGGACTGGGGACGTCTTGAGGCGTAGACCCCGGCGAGGCTGCCGGTTTGAGGATGAGCTGCGTTGTTCCCGTCGTCTCAGATCCAGCCGTTGCCGGGGGCTGAGAAACAACTTGGCTGGCACCCACCAGCAGCACCGTGGGAGCAGAGCTGACTCTGCCAACAAACACCATCGGGGCTACTGCAGGTTTAGGGGCAGTCTCGGACACAGCTGTGGAGCCGGGAACGGCTTCTGTGCTTCCTGCTGGAACTGGAGGAGAGTCGGAGGTGGATTCATCCGCAGCAACCAGAGGGGCAGCAGGACTGGTGGAGGCAGACAACACTGGTGCTCCTGCGACACAGAGAGATAAGATTTCATATCAAATTAATTAATATTCACCAGTGTAATGTGTTCGTCACGTGGCTCATGAAACAAAGGATTAATTCATGTATAAATTGGTAAACTGGGACATGTAGAATAGGATAGTACGCAGGTGTAATACTGTGAGGAGAAAAACTACCAAGATTCACTTCTCAAATGTGCTAATCAATCGATCCCCATTAATCCAACATTGTCATACTAATCGATAATGGAATTAATGTTAGTTGCAGCATTAACTGAAAGCCTCTCATTAGCAGATTAAAATAAACTTCATGCCTTTGTTGAACCACAAATCCTCACTTTTCCTCCCAGTTGATGTTTTTAAACTCTAAAATGATGTGGTAATCAGACTGATTGATTGATTGATTGATGGATGGATGACTGCCCTCCTCACCCATCAGTGAGCCCTCCTGCAGCAGGATGTGAGTCGGGCCTCCCTGTGTCTTGCTGCTGCTGCTGCTGCTGCTGCTGCTGCTGCTCTCACTACTGATGCTCTTCAGCTCCTTCTCCAGCTGCTCCATCTCTCTGCCCAGCTGACCCACTCTGGCCTCCAGCTCCTGCTCCAGCTGCCCGGCTTTCCTCTGCAGCACATCCTCCAGCTGCTCCACTTTGGCCCGCAGAGCCTCGTTCTCCTCGAACAGCTCCGAGGAGAACTCCGTGAACACTTTGTGGATCTGAACCACCAGACACTTCTCTATGTCCTGGATTTCGCCGAGCTTCGCCTCTTCCCACTCCGCGTTTGGCGCCTCTTTCGCCCAGACGTCCCTGAAAACGGACACGGTCGCCTGGATAGCGACTTCCACGACAGACGCCACTTCGCTGCCGAACCTCGCCTCCATGTTTCTTCCGTCTACTTAAACACTCTCAGCGCCGCTGTGTTCGCCAGGTCGTAACGCATTTTCAAAGTAAAACAGTAACTCGAGACAAGCAGACAGCTTTTAGAGTCAACGACAATCTTTCTTCCGCGTAAACAGAAACGTTTGCTGTCCTACATGGCGGCCTGTGCGTTCCTCTAAAGGCTCCGTGTTCCGCATCCGCTTCCGATGTCACGTTTTCATTTCAAAATAAAAGCTCCAGACACGCTACCAAAAGCTACATGCAATAACACCGATATATTGTAGAAAAAAGAAACGTTAATTACCCATTAAAGTAGTGGGGTTTAAATATATGTTCTGGAGTAGCATATCGCTAATTTGTGAGTGTGATCTAGCTGACTCTTTGTGTGTGTTTTTACAAAACTGCCCCCCCCCAGTACAGCCTTTTGTCTACTGAAATACATTTGATGGGAATGTATCTTATGTAAACTAATTTATTGTACACTTCTTGTACGTTTCAAGTTAAATATCCTCTTCAGACACGTTCTGAGACATAATTTGTGTCTGTTTCTTAAAATTATCATAATATTACTTCATTCTTATTGAAAATGAATGAATATGCAATACATTTTTCCTCCATAGTCCACTTAATAGAAAAGTGTAAAACTCTCACTGCACGTACGTACATCATTCTGCACAGTGAAGGTCAAACATCTCACAACAAGTGCGGTAATAATTACCTAACAACCCTAATCCTAAACATTCCTGTCTGTATCTGCTCATTGCAGTCAAGAGATGAAAAACACCTTCAACAGACTGAACACACAAAGATAAACCAGGGCTGGGGATCAAACGCAGTAATGAACACTGATGATCCACTGTACAATCTGTTCCTGTGGAATTCAGCCTATTATTAGGACTTGTGATTTAACTGGGACAGTTTTACTTCCATATGCTCCCAGTATCCTTAAAAGCACAGGTCAGAATAATTCAGTAACTTGTGCAATAGTGTAAAAAAGTGTGCATCCAGTCTACTTAAGGTGGCATTGGAGATATAAGTGTTACCTGGGCATTATATACTTAAATGTTTTCTTAGTTTTAAAGCTGTATACTAAAGGTAGTAGAGTTAACTTTATTATAAAAATAGCCATCTTTTGTGGCTCGATTGTTTAAGTCACGAACTCCAAGATGAGTGTACAGGAGCTCATCATTGGTCAAATTGAGTCCAAACAAACATCAGCAGAGAAAATTTGTGTTTTTAAAGGTAATTACAGTTTTTATTATTTGCCCTGGCTGCTGATGTGGGCCCATTGAGACACTGCATGCAACATTAGATAATGAAAGTAACTCGACTCGACTAAAAAGACACACACAAACATTATCTTTCAATATCACAATTTGTATTTATCAAGTCAAAGAAACGACTGTACAGAGCCAGTGATTCGCAGTTGGTTCTGACCATTTTATACATCAGTGGTTCATTCATTCACCCTTTTTCAATGTTGGTAGTTCGTGTTGGTATGTTACAGTGATTGCATAGTGGAGGGATGGGACTTCAAGACATGCACAGCAGTACCATAATAGAGACTATATCATTCATGCAACCTCTTTGTCCTGATGTGTTTGTGTGGAGGAGGTGGGATTCGTTTTCAACCCGGCTTCAAAACAGACTCAAAAAGGTTTAAACATAACAAAGACAAGGGGCAGTTTTCTCAGTGTCACCACGGATAAACTTACTTTCTTGTTTGTTTTTACAGAAAATGCTTCAAGAGCAAATACATTTGTACATTAGGTTGCTTTTGGCAGGCATACAGAGAGACAGACAGACTGAGGGCAGATAGACAGTGGTGCTCTGGGGTCCTGGAAGGAGAGAAAGTATGGTAGCAATTATTCTGTATTCAATCGTCAGCATCTCGGGCTGCTGTCCAAACTTTAACTGAAATAACATTTGGAAATAAATGAATCTGCAGGGAGAACATGAGGCTAGTGTTTCCCGCAGAAAGATGAGTTCAGGTGAAAGTTGATGTCAGAACTTACTCTACTGATGTTGCTTGAATCATCCTAAAGTGGCAAACCCTCCAAAAAAAAGTAAAACAAACACTACAAATAATTTACTAAGACTATCTGGCTCTATTTGGTGTTTGTGTGTTGCTAAAATTATCCGAAGAAAAAAGATGACAAGAGCTGCATAAAGTAGTTAAATCATGAAGTTTGCAAGGCTCCACATTTTCCTCGACACATGGAGCCTCATTAAGTGTAAAGCTGTGGATGGATATGATAGTCAAGATGGCTGCAAATGGGAAGAGATGAACAGAAACTAACGAGTGTTCATTAGTTTAAATGTAAAAAATGTTTGTGCTTTCTTTGTGTTAAAGAAGAGAGTCCATGTGTTTCTGTAATCCTGTGCAGTTTCATCAAGATTTGTGTTAGAAGAAACAAAAAGACAGAGACTCCGATATGCACTCCCAAAATGTTCAGTAAATAGAGCATGTAGTCCACCCAATAGTCAGTGTTACCATTAAATAATTAGATTATTTTAACAGCTTCATAGGTAACTAATAATGAACTGAAACTAAAGATTTTTAGTTCAAAGAATAAAACGTCACGTCTCAAGAGTCGTCACTCACCTTTTGACTGAACTGCACACGTTCTAATTAAAGTGTGGTTGAATTTACTGGTTGATTGTCCTCAGAATATGGAAACACATTTCTGTTAATGCATCTATGAGAAATGTTCACTTATCATATAAAATGTAGCTTATGCAGAGCATGTGACTTTGTGATGGTCGGCCCAAGTGAAAATATTCATTCTGAGAGTTTCTTATTATAATGACTAAGAAGCTAAGAAAAAAATGGTAGATTAAAATAAAAAAAACATAAATTATACTTAGAAACAAGCAGCAGTCTAGTTGGAGAATGATGAAGCGTGATGGGAGCTGGTCTCTCCTGGTAACATGTAAACAGAAGATGATGTATTTTAAGCAAAATATCAACACATGCTGTATGTAAAATGTGATAGTGGGTTTTTACAGCTGTTCTTTACAGTACTCAAGTTCGAAATTAAGCCTGAATTAGGGCTATAACTAACAACGTTTTCGATTAATCATTTGGTCGATAAAACATTAGAAAACAATGAAAATCCCCATCACAATCTCATGGAGCTCAAGGTCTTCTATTGTCATGTTTTGTCTGACCAGCTGTCCAAAAACCAAAGATATTCCGTTTTTATGTTATAAAACAGACCAAAAAAAGCAGCAAATATTCACAAGAAGTTTTTAGTTTAAAAAAAATCATCTTGAACAATGAATCAGTCAACTACAGAAATTGTGAGAGTTAAGTTAAAGAGAGTGATTAATTTTGTCAGATTTAAATTGTTTTCTGTCCTGTGTTTGTGAGTTTAAAACAAGTTAAAGAAGTTCCTTAAATTTAGTTTTTCATTTCTGAAAACAATTGCTGAATGTTTTTGTTGTTGTAATACTCGTTTCAACCACAAGGGACTGAAGTGCACGACTACCCATCGTTCTAAATCGGACTAAAAGCAGGTTATGGAGCACTTTCTGACCCACAAGTAACTTATTTTTAGAGTGCATAAAGAAATGAAAACTCAGCTGGAATAAAACACTTTTTAAATATTATCTTTATATATTGTTAATATAATAAAAAGTCAGAGAAAACAATTTAGAAAATGGATCACCAGACTTTTTTTCTGTCACTTGCCTCTCAAGGCTTCCGTAATTATCAAAATAGTTGCTGATAAATTTTCTGTTGATCAACCAATCAATTAATTGACCAACTGTGAAGAGCAGGAGAATAAAAAAAAAAACAGTTAAAATCACAAAGAACTGATCAGCTTTGAACAAAACTTTCTTCTACCTAATGTGATAAGTTTTCTGACTCTGATGTCCTTCTGCTGGATCCCAAACACCACTGACCATCAGGCCTCAACTCTGCAACAGGCCAGTGTCCCTAGTGCAAAGAAAAAGTTGCATAAAGTCTCAGTTCACTGCTACCATGGACATCATCATCATCATCATCATCATCATTTACAATATTAAATCCTGAACAAACCTCATAGATTATACTCATATATCACATATTACTGCATACTACTGTGTGGTTTTGGTGTACAAGAGGCAACATGTCAACGACTGAAACTCTGAATGAATGAATGGTATCGGACTGAAGTGCTGAGGAAGTATAAGTGATAAGATTTCACCTTCTTTCTAACCGTCAACGTCTAACTGATTTTTTTTGTTGTTTCTGGTTCAATGTAGACTTTTATTATCTCGTGATCTACACGTCGTTTTCAAAGCAAACTCAGATCTGCATCCAACAAAGTTCTACATTAATTTCCATTGAGAGAAAAAAAAACACTGACTATAAATACATGAATGATAAACCAAAAGGTATTTTATTCGTCATTTCATCTCGGCTGACAGACTGAGGTTGATGTGAACAGAACAGCGCAGACACACACACACACGGACAGGCAGGGTACCCACGAGCTCATCTGAAACCATTAATGTTGAGATTCTTTAAACCAAATCTGAACATTTGTTTTGTACTCGAGTCCGTCATGGTGTTAACCATGCTGACTTTCACGTATCTGGATGTTTCTGCTGTGTGAACTACGGTGTAAAATGGCTCAAATCTGTGAGCGAGTTAGCTGTACCCTGCATGTTTTGTCCTGTGTGTGTCTACAGTAACAAAGTGTGTCAGTTTATTAGCTGTTAGATTCATAATCCGACAGCGGCATACTGTACTGTGTCACTTTACATGTGGAAGGTTTGCTCATTCAAAAATTCACCTCTTTTAACTCTGTCTTTGTTTGTTGTGTCCAACATGCATGTAAATGATTGCATTGATCTGGCATTCACACCTAGTTTAGATGCATAAAGTGTGTTGAAATAAAACAAGATTAAAGAAAGTTACAGTTCTCAAGACATGTTTTATGATAAACACAAACCAGACCAACAGGTCAGGACAGAATTTAAAATCCTGAATAAGGTACAACCTAGAAAACCAGGATCAGCCAGATATAAGAATACTGTCATAACTTCAATATTACACTTCTTAAGAAACAGATAAAATGATTAACCTGGCGTATATAGACTTCTGAAAATATAAAACAAATTCTGAATGGGATTGTTGGGATCTACAGCCGTGGAAATTACCTGCTCATAGAGGAAGATGTAAACTTTTACTTTTAAAGTCCAACTGAAATCACATTTAGTCATCCCTTCCTTTAGTCAAAAATAATGTCAGTGTTTTAAAAAAATATTTATTGTCAAATGTTTTTTAATATTAAAAGAAAGAAAGAAAAAAAAATCTATTTTCATCTAAGCGGCCGGAGGTTATGGAGTCTGTGTTTGATTGACAGCAGCTGGCAGGCTCAGCTCCACTACTGACAGCAGAACGAGAGACAACCCGTCTCATCGTCTGCATCGGAGCTCCAGACGGCCCGTAGAAAAGCTCAGGGAAGAGGCTGTGTGCTGTAACAGAGCTCATTCTCATCATCCTTTGAGTATTTTCTGTTGTAAAACCGAAAAACACAGTTTGAAATCACCTCTGATAAAGAATCAATCTCAGCTTTGCACCGCTTTGTTTTTGAGTGTTTGTGGCTGTTGGGGAAAAACAGCCACAACGACCTCAGGGGGCAATAATGAGCCCAATGTAGTGAAGAAGACACCGCACTAGAAATATGAGATTTACACTTATCAGAAGTGTTTTCAAACTATACTTTTTGGTCTTATAAGAGAAGTGACTTTAACTTCCCCGCCTCCGTTGATAAGCAGCGTACAATCGCTTCCCTGTAACAGAGCACTGATGTTACTGCTTTAACCAGATGTGGTTGCAGCCCTTTGATTGTAGATGTAGACAGAAAACAGTATTCCAGTGAACTGATGCAGACATAAAGGAGCCGCCATCATGAAATAAAACAAATAAAATATACGTTTCTCCCCGTTTGGTGCCTGATGTTCTCACACAGGACATTAACAGGGAAGATGTTTATGCTGTAGCAGAAATTTCAGCTGGACTTTAACTTACTGAAAGAACCAAAAACACCAGAACTGAAATGAACAAGGTTTTCATACAGTAGCAGTGATATTGAAACAGCATTCCTATTCGAAAGGATTTAAAAAAAAAAAGGATTTTAAATGCTATCTGACCCAAACCTGACCAGGATGCTCCTACCTGGGGCAGGAAGGTAACTTCAGTTTGCCCCGTCAGCCTCTTTTGGCTGGTGCTTCCCATAATACCCCAGCTGCATTTAAAGGTTTATTAAGACTTCTCACCCTCCTTTTTTTTTTTTTGTCCTTGCGGCCCTGTCGTTTATGGCTTTGTGGTGAGTTTACAGGAAACTGAACAGAAACTGATGTGTGGATGCCAAGTCAGCGGGCTGCAAAAAACGAGCTTCTTGTGACGAGTGATTTCTCTCCAAGCAAAAACATGCAATCTCACAACTTAACCTCCTTTTTTTCTAAATATTTGGTCAGTCTGATATTCTGGCTCTCGACGGTGTGTCCGTTCATTCACTTATTCATTCACTTATTCATTCATTCATTCCCGTCTGATTCTACACTGATGGGATGTTGATGTGGACAGTTTGATGACCTTTTACACTCTGGAACATATTGATAACCTTTGACATGTCAAACCTGCTGACTTATATTTCTCTCTCTCTGTGTATGTGTGTGTGTGTGTGTGTGTGTGTGTGTGTTTGTGTGTGCGTGTGTGTAGGTCTGTGGATCGGACGTGTCTGGAAGACTGAGGTGGCATCTGAGGGGACAAACATATTAACACGTGAAGCACACGGTAAGCACACACTAACATAAATAACCTGAGAGCTATGGAGACCCTGGGAGCGGAGAGCAGCAGCCCACACACACACACACACACACACACACACACACACACACACACACACACATACAGACGCACGCACGCATACGCACACGCACACACAAAAAACAAGATATTTTGAATTCTGTATAAAAAAAGGATGCAATAGATTTGTGTGATAAGTCAAAGAGAATATCCAACGAGGAGTTTGATGTTGTAAGAGAATAAAAGAGTAGATGAGGCCTGTTTTTCAGCCTGAGGGCCTCATTCATTAAAAACATGCCAGCCGCAGATTTTGTGCTTATGACCAAAAGCCAAACATGTAATTTATGGAAAACTGATTAGCAGGTTACAATAAATGTCACCAATTTCTTTGAAATATTAAAACGTAACTCTAAAGTTACCCAAAATATGAATGCTAGAATTTTTGTTGCTGTTTTATCGATTTTGAACTTTAATTAAATTTAAATCAAACATTTCAATGAATGAAGCCCCATCAGATTAATACAAATTTGTATCTCTTTCTGATCACTGAGCCAAGAACTGTACATATGTTGTTGTTTTCTTTTTATAAATTAAAGACTAGAGAGCCCAATTGGCTGCGGTGACCATACCATCCTGTAGTTTTTATGTCACAGGTTAAACACCTTATGACCCATCTGTCTTGCAGAAATCTTAATGAGAAACATATTTAATACTAAATAAACCCAATATAAACAAAGGAAAACAGCTCTGTTTGCTCTTTGTGGGCAGATTTCAACACTAAATGTAAGAACATTTCAATTTGTTGTGGTCTTAAGGTCAAGATTTCAAGCCTTTGGATGTATTATATTAATTTCTGAGCAATGATTAAACATTTTTTATGCACCTGATTATTTTGAAGTTCGTCACCTTGGTCGGCCATCTACTCTTCTGTTGTCTTAAATCATCGTGTTTCTAACTTCCTAGAACCAGCGCCGTACTGTAGCTGTTCATCAGTGTTGATTCATCCGTGGTGAGTTTGGATGAACGTGGTTTCGGTGCCGTTTGGTACCAAAGTAAAACCAGTTTTCAGTTCCACATTTTTTCATGGCCAGACCTCAAGACAGATCAGACAAAGTGGAGAAAACAGTTCCTCTAAGTTTGAATGTCTGTAAAACATTTTGGCATAATTCAATTCTCTTTCGATTTCCGAGGAGTAATAAGACATAGTGTAGGATGTCTTCGACTTACAGACAGACAGATAGATACAGTAGATAGGACAGACAGACGAGGAAATACATACAGGTACAGCTCATCTCATAGAAAAAACAAACATGGAACAGAATGAGCTACGTTTTATCGCACTACCAGCAATCAGTAACAGCCTTTGAGTTAACATGATGCGTGTCCCGTCTCTCTCTCGCGTTAACGCTGCCCGGGGTTCAGCAGCTACGAAAACTCTCTCTGCAGTTCTCTGAAACAGCCACCGAGGGGGGGGGCGTAGGCGGAGCGTCATTTGACTCTGTGCGTTCTCACAGAGACACAGAAGAAGAGAGAGAGAAAGAGAAAGATGTCTCCTGCTCCAAATCCGTCCTGTCCGTCCTATGAGTGAGCCTGGGTCAATCCCTCTGTCCTGTGTGTCACCTTCCATCCAAACACAACCGTTTTGTTGACAGTGTTGGAGGCGGAGAGAAGGAGGGGGGCGTTCACTACCAGTCTACGGCCCCGCCTCCTCCGGAGTTCATATGCTTCAATCCCGACCAATCCAGTCACCAGGCTCACTTTTTCTTACCAGATTTTTCTGAGCGCTTCGCGTCCGACTTCCCGCCACGATCTGACCTCTCCGACCTTTCGCCTCGCTCCCGCTCTTTTTCCTTCTCCTTCTCTCTCTCTTTCTCCCGCTCTTTTTCTGCCCTTTCAATCCGCTCGGCCCGGTCTGAGCGCTCGCCACCTCGCTCTGACCTGTTGTCCGCCTTGCTGCCGCGCGTGCCCTCGTCGGTGGATGAGGTAGTTGGTTGGGGCTGACCCCATTTGGCAATCTCCTCGTGCTCCGATATACTGGCGGTGATGTTGGTCACCCACGCTTTGAGGTCATCCTGCGAGGGGGGCGGGAGCACAGATTGTTCATTAACTATTTATATTCATTTATAACTTGTGTAATCAATAAAACATTACTTAAACTACTTCAGCTTTTTTAAGATGTAATTAGAAACACAGGAATGTCTCACCTCATCTTTTGCATGAAACAAAAACTCGCTACCGTCCTTCGTTCTGCAATGAGAGGAGAGGAATTTACGAACATGTTTGGTGGAAACTTTACAATAAAGTTTCTTTAGGACACAGCTCCAATAGTATTTGCAATTCACTATGTCACTTTTAAGTTGGAGCAGGTCACAAGAAACAGATTTGGGCAAAATCAAGGCATCAGAGGCCAAGATATTCTGACTTTTATGGTGCTTTTACACCCATTCTGTTTATATATTCAAAAAAAAATCACACTTGCACCTTAAAAATACAAAAACAGATCCTCACTTGAGCGTGAAGACGTTCTTCTTCTTCTTGTAGCCGTTGGTGACGTCGCAGTGGCAGTGGGAGAGGTTGAGCAGCGGCTCGTTGTTGTAGGGCGTGGTGGTGTTCTTGGCGTCCTTGTAGAAACCCATCTCCCCTTTGTTCAGCACGCAGTACAGGTTGACCCATGACCTGCTGTGGTGTGGGAAGGCGGGAGGTGTGAGGGGAGGGAGAGTGGAGGAAGAGGAGGAGGAGGGGAAGGTGGAGGGGGAGGAGTACGGGGAAGGTGGGGTGGTTTGGGGGGGGTGGGAGATGGGAGGAGTCAGGAAGAGCTACAGAGTCGCTCTCGCTGAGCTAACACCTCACTCACCTGACCAGAGCAGACAGGTAGGTAGGCGAGATGGACCGGCGCCAAGAAGGGAGGAGGAAACACACTGCTGAACAAACACAGACGAACGGACGGACAGACAGACGGACGGAGGGAGGTGGGGGATGGAGGGATGGGGAGCTACGTACAGTTTAGGTGTCTCTGTGTGGGAGTTATATATGTCTTACCTTGGAGGAGACGAGAGGAGCAGCCAGTAGCACCGAGGAAGAGAAGAGAAAAGAGGGAGAGTTTGGTTAAATGGCATTTTGGCAACAACACAACATAAACTTTCAGTCATGCTTCTTTTCCCTCTTGTGAGCGTGTTTACATGCACACAGCATTCCAATTATTAGCTTACACCCAAGTATAGGTATTATTCAGAGCAAACTGTCTGTGTGCAGCTTAATATCCCAATTTAAAAATACCTTTGTGAACTAACAGTGCAAACACAGCGTAGACTGGAGAGGACCAATGGTGCATGTGATAAGGTGTCTACATTGCTAATATTAGAGCTAGCTTCTATTATGGTTCAATTTTAGAGATAACATTTTAAAGATAAAGTGACCTTGAGGGAAATTCAGGTCATGGCCGTGGTAAGGAAGAGGATGTAAATGATAAAACAATAACAATAACGTATTGATCTTTTGTGACACTCTCTCCAATGTCAGACAGATAGAACCACATCGTTTTAATAAAGATGAAAACAAGATGTTGTTCTCGACTTTGGTAACAGTAGTAGACTTCACTATGTAGCTTTTCTTGCACTTCCAACCGAATCTTACGGTGGAACGCTGTGATAACAGCAACTATGTTGTTTTCATTGTCCACCATTATTTTCCAGGTATTTAACAACAAGAGGTGCTGTCTAAAGGCCCTTTTACACTGTGATTTTTGGGCTGTGAAAGAGCTTCAATGACCCAAAAAAGGCGTCATTTTACAGTAGTAGATATTCATTCATCGTAGAATATGGACATAAAACCTCAGCAATACGTCTGATGAAGGAAACCCTTAATTAGAAACTGAGCTATGACAGCTCTCGGCCAAAAGTGACGTGAAACTATGAACTGACAGATTTTTATACCACGATACGCAGTCAGTTTCAGTTCATTGTAAAGAGTAGACACCATTCACATGCACTGTATCCTATTACAAGGAACACTTGGTTATCCTAAATAATACCAGAATATTAATGTGCACATAAACATACTCAGTGCCTTATCATGTAGCTATGTAACAGAGACAGGTTGAATCTCAATCCTTCCTCGTAGACTAACTGTATCATCTCTTTCTCAGTAGTGACTGGAAGAAAAGGTCTGCAGGCCCGCCCCACAGATCTCCCCACCTCCAATCAAAATTGAATATAAAGCAAAAAAGAGAGCATACAATAAGCCGAACCAGGAGCTGGAGATTCACACTTGTCCAGTTTTAAGCCATTCAGGATTATGCTTTACCTTGCCATGTACATAACAGGGCATGTACATACGAGACATTCATCCATTGCCTTGAGTGAGTGGGACTCATCCATAGCTGGAAGGGGATGAGCGTTTAGCTGTGCGTGGTCAGCCCAGCCACTAGAGGGCAGTGCAGAGAGAGACTTTGCCGTTGGTGTCTCTCTGGAGGAAGCAGGGTGGTCGTCTGTGGAGGCCAAGGTGGTGTGTGTGTGTGTGTGTGTGTGTGTGTGTGTGTGTGTGTGTGTGTGTTTGTGTGTAGTCTAAGCAACTAGACAAGCAGCTCCATCAGCCTCCACTCCCAAGGCATTCATCAGCCAGTCAGTCCCCTAGCCAGCCAACGATTGCTGCTGTGCTTTATTCTGTGGGCCCGTGTTAGATCAGGAGGCATCGTAAGCGTCATGCATGATGTTTCCACATGCGGTAAGATCTCTGCGGGTTGCTGTTTAAATTCATGTAACTGTTGTCTTCACTTTCTGATCCTGATGATCGGAGATGACACACAGTACATAAAATATTCAGAAGCTCCAGCCTGATGTGAGAATAATGTAGTGTCTCCTGGTGCCACTGTCAATGTCAGCTCTAATGTTTAGAGTTCTGCATCAATACTTCTCTTTATTGGATAATTTCTTAATTGTGGAGGAAACTACACAACTACAAGCTGACAAACCACTTGATAATCTAACAGCAGCAAGACATTTAAAAAAAAACCATCATCTTTTATAAACTGTTGGGCACTGCGACTTCAAACAGCTCTGTCTATGTGTTATGGAAGCAAACAACACTTTATATTTCTGACTGGTTGGAGATTGAAGACAGTGCTGAGGGCGAGCAACAAGCAACACAACACATAGTTAGATTTTACTTCCTCGTTGCTAAACTTTAAGAAACTATTCTTAATAATGAGACTTGGTGTTTGTCAATTAAAAGAAATAGTAAGATGTGCGAGAAATGTATGAATGTTCAAATACTTGGGGAGCAGATAGAGACTGACAAACCCCTTATTTCCAACTTTTTCTAGTAAACAAAATAGGTAAAAATAAAAATCCTTTGAATATAGTCAAGTGTTAATGTATGCATGCTTCTAAAGACATACAGTGTGTCTGCTGAGTAATTCCAAACTTTAGCTTAGTGTCGCCTCTATCGTGTTGACCCACACGCCGGGGAAACCACTGAGGCATCACGTGTCCTCTGCAGCGGTGACAGTCATGCATTTGTTCAACATGTCAGCCGTGGTGTCAGCGCAGTGTGTGAGCCCGTTAGCTTAGCATGCTACAGTCATGCCCCTGTCATCGTTGTTGAATCAGTAAATGGAGGGGGCAGTGATGTCATGAGGAACAGACAGCAGAACGTACGACGTGTGCTGCAGTCAACATGAGTCAAATAGTATCTGAAAATACTTTTTAGCAGTTAGTTTTACCCGACTTTAGTCCTTGAGGAATGGGGGTCGCAACAATCGACAGCAAGGACCAAAGAGTTTAGATTTAGCAACAATCCAGTGGTATCCTTTAATGTTGTTTTGTGGTAAACCTCGCCGATCTGCTACTCCAAGAAGGTCAGAAATAACCTTCCTGGAGTACCAAATGAAACTGTAAGAATTACTTCCAAGGACTATTTGACCATTTTCTAATTAACTGATCAGAATACCTAAAGTCTGATACTCATGACACCAGTGTCCATCCTCCTTCTCTCTGACTTCTATCATCTGCTCGTCCAGATGTTATGCTCATCATTATGACCCTGAACACCCACCTATTGGTGCTCTTCTTCAGGGTCTCGATGTCCAGTTTGCGGAAAAGGAAGCCCTCGTGGTGTGCGGTGTGTGTTGGCGGCTGGGGCACTGCCGGGCTGCTCTGGGCCGGAGCGGACCTGGACCGCCGCGTTGTCGCCTCTCCTGCCTCTTTGGGTCGTGGTCGGCGCCGTGGTTTTGGTCTGTCCCGAGCTCGAGGCCGTTCGGGACGGGAAGACTTCTCTGGTAACCCGTTAGGCAGACGGGGCACCTCACCACGGGCCTGAGGGTGGGGAGAGGTTAGAGAGATGTTACTCTATATAATGTGGTGATTAACCACAAAACTGACAGGAAAAAACTCTGAGATTCAGTGGTGGGAGGAAGTTTGTTTAGTTTTTTTATCGAGCTAGAATATAAAACACAAATAAACACTGTGAGAATTTGTAAACACTGCATTTGGATGAAATGCACAACACAAATCTCCAGACCTGCGCTGCTTCTCTTTCTTGCAGCTGCTCTACAATTTCTGCCAGGGTGGATCTCTTTTCTCTGTAGAAAGAAAATCACATTTAGAGATAAAGAGGATCAACATTTATGATTTATTGTGCTCAGCTGAAATAAAGTCTCACCCTCCTCCTGAGCGTCTGTCTGAGTGCTCCTTCGCGGTGTCGTGTTCACTGGATTCCTGTCTCTCCACCCGGTGACGATCCCTCTCTCTCCGCCGGCCCTCGTGGCCCCCGTGGCCCTCCTGCTCGCTGGACGTTTGCCTCTCCAGTGTCCGTCTCTCCCGCCTCTCTGCATGTTCCCTCCACACCTCCTGAGGCAGCTCGTCCCTGCGCGCCTGGATCAGCTGCTCGCTAGACAGCTGCCTTTCTATCCTGTGGTCCCTGTGGTAGGTGTGGGTCTGGACCTGGGGCTCAGCGTGGCCTAATGGGTCAGTCCTGGACCCCCGTGGCCCTCTGGTGGGCTCGCTGTGCAGACGCTCCCGGCTCGGCTCCTGGAGCACCACCTCAGCCATCACGGCCACCTCCGCTTTCTCCGTCCCTATCTCTCCCATCATAATCTCTCTCTCCCTCCCCCTCTCCCTCTCCCTCGCTCTCTCCAGCCGGCTGGCCACAAGCAGCGGCGTCACTGCATCATCCAAGTGTTTGATTTTGGGTTGCCGTAGATACGGGGATGATTTTACCTCCAGTGTCCTCGTCGCCTGTACTGGAGGCTGGAGGTGACTCATTACCTTTGCTGCTTGGTCTTTTGTTGCACTGGCACTCTCTCGCACCTGGTTGGCCGAGACTAGCATGGCCGCCGTGGCAACTGAGGCAATCGAGGAAGGCGAGGGCTGGCCCAGTCCAGCAGCCACACCCACTACGCTGCCATGCCGCGCCTCCAGGGTATGGCGGTAGCTGGAGCCGTTCATCACAGGGGTGTAGTTAGCGACTGTCGACCCCAGCCGACGAGCCACAGACGAAGGAGAGGGTGTTGGTGTGGCAGGTGAGGGCGATGGAGGAGAACTGGCTTCGTTCTGTTCATAGATGGTCTGTCTTGTGACGGGGGAGATTGGGAGGCGGGGGAGGGTGGATGGACTGGGTGAGGCATCTTGGGGGTCCAGGAAGACTTTACGACCCAGCAGAGGAGTCGGGGGGAGTTTGCTTTGCTCTGCTTTCAACTTTTCGACCTGTGGAAAGAAAACAAAACCAGCTTTAAAATCAAACTTTGAGATTAATAATAATAATCTCCTTATTGTAAATCCTCAGCTTTTAACCAATGATTATAGTATTTTCACAATTTATAACTTCCCCTTTTTAATCAGCAGAAAACTCTCTCTTATTCTGGCTGGGTTAAGTATGTCTTTATGATGAAGATATTACCGTGGTGAGTCGTCGCAGTGAGCTGAATCGCTCTTCCCAGGTGGCGGCGGCTTTGCGGAAGGCTTCATGGCGACGAATCAGCTGCTCCACCTCGTCGACGCTCGCGCCCAGCTCCTTGCTGTTTATGAAAGGCTCCTGAGCGGTCAGCCACGCCTCCGCCACGACCGCCTCCTGGGCAAACTGGTGAACCTCCAACACTGAGAGGAGGAGAGGAGAAACCAAAAATGTTAAATTTTTCCCTTGAACAGTAAACGTATATTCTTATTCTTAATATACTTTATGTTATTTATGTGTTTGTGTTTGTACATCTGTCTATATGTAAGACTGTAGGCCTGTGTGTGTGTGTGTTTGTGTGTGTGTGTGTGTGTGTGTGTGTGTGTGTGTGTACTCACATTGCTGTAGGACTTCCCAGTGCTTGTCCCACTTCTCAGACAGCTCATGTTGCTTAGCAACCACTTTTTCGAGCTTGTCCTTGATCTGAGAATCCAAATCAGCAACATCACAAAAAGTAAATAACATAACAACACTAACAATGTACAGAATACTATCAGGTGCTATTCTTGTATATATTTAGTCTGGACTTTTTAGTTTTAGTGCACTTTGTTATTTTTACTTTACTTTACTTTACGTTTTTATTATTCTGTTTTCTTATATTACCTGTTTGTGTTTCTCGTGTTTTTTTGTGATTCATTCATGTGTTACTTAGCTTTATCTGTCTATCTGTCTGTCTGTCTATCTGTCTGTTTAAAAAGATATCCTTTTTAAAGTTTGTTGTTACACACAATCAGTTCTCTCAAAAGCTCTCAATGAAAATTCCTATTTTGCACACCATGAATACAGTTCATGTTTTTGCCCTGGAAGGTAAATGTTTGTGTCTAAATAGGGAGGTCTGTGATCCAAGTACTTTCAAGACAATCAATTCTTTATCGAAAACGTCTAAAGGCTTTTAAGGCTTTTAGCTTTTTCAGATTTGCAAACATTCGTGGATTTTCAAAGCTCATGTGACCCTGGTCAATAGTCAACATGAGGAATTTGGTAGAGGAGTTGTAGTGTAAAATGTATGTAATTTGATTTAGAATAGTATTGCTGCTGCACTGATCCTGTTTCCCGTGTAGATTAAGTGTAATTGAAGTTTCTAGTTATCATCATATCTCTGATCTCACCTCTTCAGAAGCTGGGTTTCTAGCTGCCAGCAGGGTTTTGCCCATCTCGATACACTCCAGGGTGCTCCGGCTGCGAGCATCCACTTCGCTCTTCAGACTCTGGTGATAATTCATCAGCACCTCAACTGAGGACACGTCCCTGCAGGAACCACAGAGGACACAGACACTCAGCTCACCGCAACACAAACACCTACACCACACAAGTTTTTAACCCTGCTGGCTACCACACTAACCATACTAAACCGAACAACTCCAAAACGATACTTATATATGATATATATTCAAATTTCTTCATTAACTTGAAATCAAAAACCCCTTAAGCTGTTTACTGGTATACTAATATTTGTACTGTATAATGTCTGCTAATAACAGTCATTTTAAAACTAATTTTGATCCACACACCACACAACGAGGTCTAAAAGGTAAGATCTTATTTGGTATAAATTGTACATTTTGCTGCAACTAGAACTTGATTTAATACTGAGGTAGACACAGATTATGTGTTCCTATGTGTAGATACCTGGGCTTCTCTCCTGTCCCTATCTGACAAATGATAGATTCCATCCACATGATCTGATCTCGGACCATGCTGAAGAACGTCAGCTTGTCTGTCTCAGTGGTAATCTGTACTCGACACTCCTCGCAGGACGTCAGCAGCTCTTTCCAGTACTGCATCACTTCGTGCTCACGGCATGCTATGGCCTCGGCCTTCTCGCCAGCGTACACCGTCCTCAGCTGGGCCGCGCTCTCCTGCAGCTGACGCACCTGGCAGAGTGGGAGGGCAGATTTTAGGAAAACGAAAGCTGAACAAGGAAGAAACAGAAATTAAAAAATGAAAGCAGAGAAAGAGTCTGCTTTTCAAATGACGCACAAAACACAGCTGCTCTGACAGCTGTGTTTAGGCAGGGCCAAATGGTACGGGCTCTGTCACTGGAGGTGACACAGAGCAGCTGTGATTTTGCATCGTTCTTCAGTAAAATGTACCGCTGTCCCGTTCCCCAGGTGCATGACGGAGACTAGATAAAGCAAAATTAAATGCTGAGTAAGAAGGTAGTTTCGCTATGAAGATTCAGACTTTTTAAATTAATTTAATTTATAGATTTAAAAAAATGATAACTACTTAATCACATCCAAGTTACAACCATAATTATTAAGAATAAACATACATACTAACAATAAACTGTAAGGTAAAGGTAAAGGTGTAAATGTAAATTGTGGATTTTGGAGTGTATAAATAGCATGATGATATCATTATTGTTATTTTACTGATTGAACTATCACCTCCACCTCATATCTGTTTGAATGTGAGGCACAGTGTTTAGTAAAATAGCTAAATTAGCATAGAAGTCCTGTGGACCTTTACAGGGTGATCATCACTGTGGGAAGTCTTTGTGATTCTTCCCTGCATGAGTCTCGAGGCCAGTGAATACTGAAACAGGTAGTTTTACATGCGGCCTGTTCATGTGCATGTTGCTTTACTTGCGTGACGAGCAGCTGTATGTCCTGTTCAAAGCTGTGCAGGAGTCTCTGCAGGGTGCTGGTGTTGGCAGTGCTGCCCTGCCGAGCCCGAACCTCCGGCAGCCTTCGATGTTTGTCCTCAATCTGGGCCAAAACCTGGAAAAAGGAACATAGTGTCCCACGTGAGAACACAGTGTGGGGGGAAAGTGCATCTTATACAACGTCTGTAAGATTTGTGTAGAAAAAGGAGTAACTGAGAAATCAGAGAAATCTTAGGTTTATAAAATATTTTCAAAACCATAAAAACTATATCCAGAATGTACGTTTGTTGACATTTTGTAACTATTTTACAGTTTATTTACTATTATTTTTATTTATCCTATACAGCAACAGCTTCCTGTCATTGCGTCATATCACACATTAAAAAAACCTTCTGCTGGGCAAAAACACTGCATAGTTTCCTTACTTTGAAGGACACTGGTGCACATTCAGCAGTTTTTGAGCTGTTCTCATGACAATAAGGGCCTTGGTTACTTTAAACCGTGACGAAAAGGGTCTTCTTGCAGCAGAAAACACTAAAACATTAGATGCATGAAAACATTAAATGTGTCTGCTTCTTTAAAAAAATCTGTACAAATCAGAAGATAATATGCTATGTATTGTATTGTGTATTATACCTGTTGTGTTGCAGTGAATTTCCCCTCAGAGATCAATAAAGTGGTATCATTATACCATATAAAACACTACATCATATCTCTGTCTTGTCTTGCGTCTCAGCTGTGTATCTTACCTCTCTGCAGTCAGAGAAGAACTTGTGAAGCTGGTGTGAAGCAGCGAGCATCTGCGCCCGGGTCTCCATGAGCTCCAGCAGGTCGGCCCAAGCCTCGTTCACCCCGTCCTTCCATTCAGCGATGGTGGCGGCCTCCGAGTGGCCGTAGTCGATGAGCTCGTCCACCATTTGGTTAACGGCCGTCACTCGTTCCTGCCCCACACTTCCCGTCTCTGACGCAAACTCTGTGAACTTCTCCTGCAGGACCTGGAGGTGGTGCAGGGGCGGAGGTAAGGGAGGGACATATAAGAAGAACAGAAAAGTAAATTACTTATTCAAAGAGTGCATTTATTAGCATTTTCACCATCACTGTCCAATTAACATTTGTAACTTGACGTAACAAAGAAACCAGTGTTGACTCTTTATAACAGTTTTTAAAATCTATTATTGATCCACAGACACTATCTGTCAACAAACTTACAGTGACATGCTCAAAGTCTTGACCCAGTTCGGGCGAGCTGGCGACCACCTCCCTCTGAGCGATCCACTGCTCCAGCTCGTCCACTTCCCTGTTGAGCTGGTAGAGCCAGTACTGCTGCTCCAGGCGGCTCTTCCTCTCCTCCACCAGGTCCTTCAGAGACACGTACAGACGGTCGATCTGCGACTGACGCTTGCTGATCTGCTCGCTGTGGAAAAGAGAAGGGATAGTGTGTCAGGGCAGAAGTGCTGTTATTTACTGTCCACTCTTATTCTGCTTTTCCACAGTCCAGCTGTAGTGAGCTTCTGGTCACTGTAGCTTCAGTTTCATGGTCTTAGCTGACAAGAGTGGAACTCGCTGTAGTCCACTGCCACTATATTCGGTCCACTTTAAGGTTCACTGTGCTCAGAGATTCTCTTCTGCATAGCACGCTTGTAACGCCTGCATATTTGATCTACTGTCGCCTTCCTGTCAGCTTGAACCAGTCTGCTCACTGTCCTTTGAACTCTCTCATTAACAAGCTGTTTTCGTCCATTGACCTGCTGCTCACTGGATGTTTTTTTGTGCAGTGGTGAAATAGGATATCATACCGTGGTTTTTGATATACTTAAACTTTCCTGTCTAGCACCAATAATCATTCCACGGTCAAAGTCACTTACTTCAGATCACATTTCTTCCCTATAACTCTTCACTATGTCTTCCTTCTTTGATGCATTGAGCTGCTGCTACATGATTGGCTGATTAGATATTTGCATTAATGAGCAGGTGTAAAGGTGTACAGTAGACTCTAAGATGCAAAGGAGGAAACTGTCATCTTTCATTTTCCAAAGTAAATTGCAAGAAAAAGACAAAAAAAATGTCAGCAATGCTTGCAGACTTGAGAGCAAAATTTTATACAGTTATTTAAGTAAATTAACAAATTTCTGTAATTTATTTTATGGTGACCGAAAATCTGTATTAAGTTGTGTGTGTGTGTGTGTGTGTGTGTGTGTGTGTGTTTACATGCTCACCAGTCTGGATGCCCCATCTCCAGCAGCTGTCGGCATTGCTGTGACAGCAGGCCAATGGTCTCAGCATAGTCCTCAATGGTCTGTTCCAGGACCAAGTGTTTCTTCAGCAGCTGCAGTGTGCTCGGCTCGTCCTGGTGGGAGGAGGAAACGACACACACACACACAAGGAAAAGATTCACTTTAAACATAATACACACACAGCACAAATGCTCAATCCTGCCTCTATGTATAAGTCAGATTAACATTAAAGCATTACTGATGACTTGTCCACTCAGGGAAGAGGAAAAGGATTTATTCAAATGCCCAGTAACTTTCCGACAATCACACACACACCTTCCCCTTTTCCTCGTTCATCATGTGCAGCTCCTGCTCGCTCAGCCAGGCCTCCACCTCGGCCGTGTCAAAGTAGTACTGCTGGGCCTGGTACATGGCGTCCAGGATCAGCTGCCTCCTCTCGGTCTCGGCCCAGAGCAGAGCCCACAGCTGGGCCAGCTGGTCGTGGCCCGCCCTTGCGCAGTCGGCCTCAGGGCTGCGTATGGAAGCGATGATCCCTGCTCTCTCCAGGACATCCTCGATCCTGCCCCTGTGGCCCTGCAGCTCCCTCTGAAGTGTCTGGAGGAGAGGCAGAGGGCATTAACAGGAAGAAAGATGTTTCTATGTTGTTTAAAACAGATCATGTGGAATTATAGGAGAAAATAAAGGATAGTGCAAAATAAAATAGGTGAGTAGGCATAAAGGAGATAAATGAGGTTTTAGGAAATTTGAAATTAGGGTGGTGACAGTGTGCCAACAGGGGGAGCCAGAGTTCAGTTATGTGTTAGGCTGCAGTTAGAGTCACTGGCTAGTCTGATTTTCTTACCTGGTTCTTCTTCATGAGCTGCTGGACTGCCTGGAGAGTGGAGCCGTGCTCCTGAGACATAGCCATCGGGAGGCGCTCCTGGATCCACAACTATAACCACAACAATACGACACGCCGCAGTGAATATTCATACTTTTATGAGTTTGTGTTAATTTAATAGATTAAATTAAACCTGTCAAGTGCCACATGAAATCAAAATGAATGAATGAATCTTTTTTTGTTAACACTATGCAGTAAAATGTTTTTCAAACAATGGAATCTAATTAAGTTGTAGAAATATCTAACACATTTCTAAAATAATTTGGAGACAAATGCATTTGTAACTTATTATGAAAATATGAGTCACAACAATAAATTAATTAAACGTCCAGGTTATAACCTGAAGAAACCCATGTTGCAAAATGCATGTCCCCACAATGTAAATCATTAAAATTGACCATTAAGACTACAAGTGTAAGGTATGAGGTATAATGGTTGAGATTAGTGTGCAGTGTGTTTCTTCAAACTCACAATCTCATCCTCCAGATCTCGTCCGACTTGGTGAACTTCTTTAGACGCCAGCAGGATGCGTCGCCTCTCCTTCAGCGGCTCGATCAGACGCACCATCCTGGCCTCCACAGCCGCCTGGCGCCCGGCAACCGTCTCCTTGATTTGCGTCTGCTGCGGGATGGTGGCCACCTGCACCTGGAGCTGCCCCACCTCCCTATACCACTCCTCCATCTGGGTCTCCATGGTCTGAGGGGGACAAGGAGGAGGACGAGGAGGAGGAGAGTATCCATTTAAGTCATAAGTTATCAAAATGGACGAAGGAAGAGAGGATGTGTTGGTTAGGAGAGAGGGATGAAGGTAGGTGACAGGAAGAGAATAATTTGGTTGGAGGTAGACAAGAAACATGTTGTCAGGGGAGACAAGATAAAGATGGAATGAGTAGGATGTGAGGAATGTGACAGAAATGTAAAAATTAGTATTTAGTTGTTGTTTTGACTCTCAGAAAAGAGTGGTTTCACATGTTTAATGTTTTTTTAAGCGGCCTTATTTCTGACATAGATTTAACATAACTTTTAATTGAAACTTAGAAAAACAAAATCTCAAAAAAATACAGTATAATAAAAATATCATTTTACAGTAAAGGTTAAGTGTAAGTAGGTATGTTAAGTATAAAGTAAAAGTTTCTTTACATAGTGTATACACAAAATTATGAGGAAAAAAACACTACAAAAAGTTGAGTCTTAGTGTCTGACCTGTCTAAAATGACAGGATGCCACAATCACAATAAGACTCATAATTTGTTGCTTCTAAGGCCTGAAATTAACATAGCAGAAGGAAAAAAATTGTAGAAATAATAGTGGCCATTATTGTAATCTCTATATCAATAAGGTTTTTAGGATTTTCTAACCCTGAAATACATCTACATCATTTAATAAAAGATGGACATGAAAGCAAAGATGAGACTGAAAATAACCCAGAACAGCGAAAGAATAATGGACAGACATGAAGTGTAGTGAAGTTTACTGTACCCCTTGCCAGGATGGATGCTGGGTAGTGGAGTTTGGTTTGGAGTGAGGATGATGTGGTAAAGCAGTGCTAATGGCGGCCTGTTAAAGGAAGCTGTAAGCGGAATGCTGTGGGAGAGGAGAGTGAGACATGTCTGGTGAAATGATGAAGTAATGAAAGGATGAATCTGTGCGGCAACCCAGGTCACATCTGCCTGCTGTTTGCTGTGGAAAGAGTCAGACTCCTCCGAACCATCGCTGTTGGGAGGGCAAGTTACATCCCAACATCACATGTAAAGGTAACTTTTTACAGCATGAAATTAAACCTAATGTTTGTTCTAATTATCAAATATTAACTGGTCACGTTGTTCTGTAACCATACTGTACTTGTGTATGGCATCTGATCACTGGCAGCATAGTTCTTCTAGCCTATATTAAAAAAGGTTTGTTGTTGCACTCAGAAACAAAACGCTGCACTGCAAATTCTAATGAGAATCAAATGAAGCTGACAAATTAAGTTCTGCAGGAGTCAACCTGCCATTAGCATCGCAGTCGACAGAATGTTAATCCTGTTCCTCCCTGCAGTGCGTGCGTTTGTTCAATCATTTATCAATTTTTAATGCCGTTGCTCATTGTTTGCTCTGAAGACTGGAGGGAGTTTCATGATTCTCCATGTAATGTGATGTAATTTAAAAAAAATAAAATGAACACTGGAGTCAACCGAACCCGCTCTGCTTACTCTCCTGAAAAGACTTTAATGTGAAGAATATAGGTCTCAGGTAATGTTTTGATTTTATGTTGTAAGGACCAAACTTATATAATACTTTTTAACTCTTCAACCGCACCAAGTTTACGCACACACTCACAAACAGTGTAGGGCAGTAACTCATTACTAGTAATAATATTACTTTCGCCTGTAACTAGTAGTTTAACTAACTGCTATAACATAACAGTAACCCCCCAAAACATGTTTAGTTACAATACTTTTGTTGTCAACCTCTACTGTTTTGAAACCCAACAATCCAATCACAACCTTGGATTAATTTTTGTAATTGTGGAGACACTTACAGCTGGAAATATCCCCATTATTTTGATTTTAACAAATCAAACCGGATTTTAAACGTTGTAAGTCTAAATTTTAGGACGCAACCCCCTCACAAACCAATGTTGGCGGAGCTGCCACGCTCATCCAGAACAATTTGGGGTTCAGTGTCTTGAATCAGTACTAGATTACAAGCTATGTCAACAAAATTAAAAAGTCATTCCTCATTTTTCCTGATTCTAACACTGTATTTGCGCCACTACAGAGATGTTATCTCTCACCGCCCACAATCAGTCCGAACAGAATAACACATGAACCACTTGTGTTCAGTTTAATTAGTACAGAACATTTAAGATGATTCAATGCTAACATGTAACATAAACTGAACTAATGTTCAATTAACATGTCCTATACTGAACTAATTAAACACAGGACAAACTGTAACTGTATCCAATCCATCAGAAAACTATTAACTTATCAAAGAACATCAGAATCTGTTGATCTAGTGGTCAAACAATAATAAAATACTACAAGATGTTGGAATCTGTATTCAAAAATATATTACTCAATAGTTTCCAATCATCAGTATTTTCAAAATGATCTTGGGATGAAACTTTTGATGAAAGCTCACCGGGTTCGGCCTGAATGCTGATGGCTTATAGTGTTTCAAAAAGCCATAAACACAAATTAAAAATGAATGTTAGGCGTGAAAGTAAAAGAGGTTGACTTCGCCGAAATGAGATGAAAAGCTGAATGGAAAGTGTCGCAGGCACACAGTGAGAAATGTTGTTGTTAGTCATTTCCAAACATGATGTTTTGTTCAAATATTCATGAGATGAAGCCATCACTGTGTACCGATGATAACGTAAACAGTGAGTCACTCTGAGAAGAAGCAGCTGAAGCTACTGAATTATATTCACAATTTAGGTCAAACTGATTGAAAAACTTTAGAACTGGGTACTTACAATAAACATAGGTTATGTTTTTAGTCTAATATTGCACAAATATCTGGCAATAAAAGCTTGGAAACTTTTTGCTGAAGCTTAAACTAGAAAAGGCAACAGGCTCAATAAGTTCAAGAATAGTAATTCAGTGATTTATGAAGTAAACAGCGACACAGGTTGTCTCTTTGGCTCCTTGTTAGTTTGATAAAAAGACCTACAACCAAAAAAAAGGGCCATATAACTGACATGACGATTCCTCCCCAAAAATACATATATGTCCACCTTCATAACTGATAAAAGAAGCTAGAGTGAACTTCAATTGGTATCACCAAACATACTCTTAATTTCTTTCCTTCCCTTTATTTTCCTGTATGTATAATATTTATCTACAGAAATCTATTGTTCTGTTATTCAAATATTAAACTATTTAGTCCGGCTGTTTTATTTTCTTATGTAATACTGAGCAGTTCTGAGCTTCTATGTGTCTTCTGATAATGAATCAAATGAAAGAAACTGTTTAGAGATCACAACTCAAAAGGTTTGAGCATGAGTAAGCTAGAGGTCAGAGAGGTCAAAAGGCTTAGAGTGAAGACCACTGAATGTTTTTAAAATCCTACCAACCTGTAGTTTTTTCAGCTGCTTGTTGACAGTGGTGAGGTCCTGTCCCTGGTCCACGTAGACCAGTTGACCCTCCAGCTGTCCCAGTCTCTGGTCCAGGCTTTCGTAGCTCTGCACCAGCAGGTCTGCCTTGTTGGCCTCGAAGAGCTGACGGGCTTTGGCCTGAGTGGTGCTCTCCAGATCCTGCCAGCACTCCCTGATTTCCCCCAACTTCTTCCGGACCACGGGGCTGAGCTCCGGCTTCTCCTGGATCAGCTGCTGGCCCTCCTGGAAGGACAGGAGGAAGGAGGAATACAGAGCGTGTAGGTGTTTTAATAAGAAGGGATCATTAAAGGCAATAATGCACAGACCAAAAAAGCATGTCCAGATATAACACTTCAGGTAAATACTGGAAACAAAACCCAACAAAGCTACCAAATGTCACGCCATAATCACCATGCTATATTAAACACAACCTGTTATGATTAAAAGGTCATTAAGTAAGATAACTACCACCTTAATCAGTGAATCTACACAGCACCTGGGAAGTATTAACATAGGCTCACAATCTTTAAGCATATCAGTTTCATGTTAATCACTTTTTCCTCATCACTATGCAAATGTATGCCAAAAGATGCTCCAAAATCTAATCAGATCTTTTGCTCTGATAACACGAGCTCGTGAGATTTAGGCCAGAAGAGTGAATATGTGTCTATGAGTATATTCCAATAAGAAGTAACGCTTCAATGCTGACTGTACGGTCAAAGAACAGAACAAATAAAAAACTACAGAGGATATAAAATGGACTAGTTAAGTTAGGAAAAGAAAGTTAAAATGACACCATGTGTTGCAAACACAGGGATGGAATTTATATAATTTTCAATTATTGTTGTTTTTTCTAGTTATAATCTGTTTTATTGACAATAAACTGTCTGATCAACAATCAGAAAACCCAATTTTTGTTTACATGCAAAAAAAGTAGTATTAGTATACAGTATAACTAATCAGTTAATCTATTGCACTGAAGATAAGACACTAAAATGTAGAGCTGCAACGATTAGTTGATTCATTTATTAGTTTTTACCAATAATAATATTATTATTGGTAAAAATACCACCAATTGTTCTGTATTCAACCTTTTTACTGATAAAAACAAAATACAAACAACAAACATTTGAGGAAAAAAGAGACAAAAGTCAAAAACATTGTACAAAGAACAATGACCATGACAATATACAAGACATAATATAACACATTAAGTATAAAAGACGTTAAAATAATAAAATTAGGTCGAGGTAAAAGTAAAACAGCCATCAGGTCAGTTTAGTAATATATTCCCAGAACTCTACAATCAATGGGCCGGATTATATTTAAACAATGTTATCTGTAATTTAGCATTTCTGGCACACAGGTGAGATATTATTGTTATTTTTTCACATTAACAAACAATATTGGCAGCCATTTTAATAATCAATGAATGATAAGTAATTTGTTTTAAATATTTTGGGTTGATCGCACAAATGAATACATTTGAAGACATCAATGCAGTCTCTGGTAAACTTTGACAGGTGTTTTCCACAATTTGCTGTTTTATAGACCAATTAATGAATTAAGAAAATAATTGTTAGATTAATCAGTAATTAAAATAATTATTAGTTGCAGCCCTACTTAAATGTAACATCTCAATCTAATCATGACCAGTTGAGGTCAAAATATAAAGGAGCCATAAATCCAGCGGTCTGGGTCTCTTTTCTCCATCACATCCACCAATATTCACTGGATTTTATGTTGGGATAATAATGTGCAGACACTATGGAACTGGGTTAGGGTGTGTGTGTGTGTGTGTGTGTGTGTGTGTGTGTGTGTGTGTGTGTGTGTGTGTGAAGAGATTAAAATGCCTCATAAATTGCCTCACACTCCCCTTCCCCCCTTCTCTTTCTCTCTCCTCTCTTTTTCATATTTCTGCCCCTTTTTGTACCTCATCCTAGTCTGAACCCCCTTTAATACTCTACACACACACACACACACACACACACACACACACACACACACACGACCACCATTCCTTATGTACACCTGCTCCCTTCCCATTTTTCTCTCCATTTAGCCTCCCCCACAGTGAAATCCTTCCCCCATCCAATTGAAATTCATCTTTTGCAGCCTGTGTTTGTGTGTGTGTGTGTGTGTGTGTGTGTGTGTGTGTGTGTGTGTGTGTGTGTGTATGTGTGTATGTGTGTTTGTGTGTTTGTGTGTGTTTTGTGTGTGTTAGTGTGTGTTAGAGAAGAAAAACAGAGAAAGAGAAACAAACAAAGAAAAAAGATCCAATAAAAACAAACAAGAGTCCAAAGTGAGAGGATCAACAAAGTCATTAGGATCCATCATCTGGGGACAATATATGTCTGTTCAAACATGTTTGCCAATCCATCGAGTAGATGTTGAGATATTTTCCAGGATAAGTGAAAACTTTAACCTGCTGGTGGCAATAAAGGAAATACACAATGTCATGACAATGTATCCGCTAGTTGTTCAATTGTGGGGGACAATGGGTCACAGTGACTACTTCTTTTATACAGTCTAGAAATATACAAAATTTACCAAATAGTCATTTTCAAAGGGTGTTTCTATAAATATGTGAAGCTTTGTACATGACACCAATTTAGCTTTCCCACGTTGTGTAACAGAGCATACAATTATTAAGATATTTTGAAACTTCTCGACAGATAGCAGGTTATTCTGACCCATTCTTCTGCCAAACACAATGTTTTTTAAGCATTTGGTGCTTGGCAGGTGGTCACTTCAGACTCTGCTAAGACATTTCACCAAGATGGTAAAATAACTTTGCGCGGTGACTCACCATCCGCAGAGGACAACATCCTGCCTGACTCACTCAGGTTAAGATAAAGTCTACAGACACACAGAGCTGCCTGATGACTGAAAACTGGATGGCAGTGTGGTGCTAAAAAGGTTTCCTGTCCAAACCCCCGGACCGGCTGTGTGAGAATGGTTGAGGAAATCTGGTTATACCAAGGTGGCTCCAAGGTGTGAATATGAGTATTATAAAACCATGTTCAGCCTCCTAACAACATGCTTGACAACTCTTAAGCTTATTCACAAGCAGTCCTCCAAAGATTGGTTTGACAGCTACTTCCGCTCATTCGTCTTGATAGTGTTCTTTATTGAGAACACAGATAGGTTGACCCGAAAATGGTGAGAACATGCAGAGCCAACATCGTCACTGTGCCATAGTCTTGGAGACAAGCAACCCAAAAAGTGCTCAAGCTTTCAGCACCACGGAGAGCAACCTTCATTTCACCTGGAGGTCAACTAGTTCACATTTAATCACAACTGTCTTCAGCAGGTGGAGGTGTGGCAGCCTCCCTGATAACAAACCTGCGTAGAATAGATAAAGTTTGTTCCCAAAGGCCTTGAGCTTTTTCACCATATCCACCTCAGGTTTTTCTTTCCCCTGTAGTTGCACATTAAGTGCATTTAAAGGGGACAATATGTCTGCTAACGTTGCACATGAATTCTCTGTCTTGCATGCTATGCAGGTGGTCAGCTGTTCCTTTTAATTTACTTTGCTTCAGAATATCCACAACTTGATCCCTGAGCTCAGTGAAGCGCTCCGAGGCTTTGCCCTTACTCAGCCAGAGCACGTCACTGTGGAGAAAGAGGTCACTGAGATTTCAGCTGTGGAACAGGTAATGCAGAGTGCTTGAATTCCCTTAGTTAGTTATCTTCATTGTTTTGTCCATAACCTGTTTCAGATCCCCAGCACAGCATTGGAAAATGAGTGAATGCAACCCATTCTTTTTTAAAATATCTCCTCCAGTTTTCCTAAGATAATGGTACCAGTCGTGTCCCCTTCCACTGGAATCAAAGCCAACAGCTCTGATGTGAAAATCGTTCCAATCAAAATATCTGACAAAAAAACGCACAGCTGGGAAATGTCAGTGTTGTCAGTGGACTTTATAATAAATAGTCAGGTATATGTATACGGACGTCCACTGCTAAGACGTGGACATGGTGGGTAGTGATTGAAAAGGACAGAAGTATTTGCTTAACAGAGGTAATTATCCTGTCCATAGATCCTTGTGTAATGGCGATGGCACAGACTGTAGACTGTAGTTGACGACCCCTTTTCTATGGAACTGCAGTTGTTTCGCAGTTGTTGACTTTGACTGGGATTATAAGGGGCATCTCTCAGGTGTAAATGTGTGTATGCACAAGAACACACTGAAAATAGAGGGGGTTTTAAAGCCGTACAGCAGGCTACATTACACCACTCCTTGTCCCGTATCGTCCGGCGTTAGTGTGTTACGTCAGGTTTCATTGTGGTGTAGCGTTTCCCCGGCTGCTGATGCATGCTGTCCTCTGCGGTGAGTGGGAGAGCTGCGTGGGCTCGAGCTGCTTCACCCACAGGCTCAGAGCTACTACTCCACACTCACACATAACTCAGGCTGCACTTCAAAGAGCATCATGATGTTCTCCTGCTCGTACGAAACCCGTAGCTACAGAGATCCCAGAGCAACCCGAACCCAAACAGTGTGAAGGAAAATCCATGTCCAGCACATAACCGCTGTATTTCAAGTTTATGTGGCATTCAGCGGTCTTCAAGATCAGTTTAGTCAGCCTGTAAAAACAGTTGTATAATATCTTCTATTGTTATCAGCATTAATCCTGGAGTTGGAACCACATTGGTGTTTACAGGGAAGGGAGGGTCAAATGAAAGGTGCTATTGAGTTGCATTATGGGAATTAAAGGATCGAGTGTCAAAGGATATCTCCGCCTCAGCTGTATTGATTTTGCCCATTCTTCTTTTAATCTGTCTCTTGCAAGTCACCCAATTTATGGAAGTGTCCAAAATCTCTGGGGTACCCATTTAAAGTGTTGCTCGCACTGGTTGCTATGGAGTTTGTGCAGTGAGATCACATGTTGATGGTGGTCAGTACTGTTAAAACGAAATTACTTTTAGCAACATAATTTAAATATTCATTTTCTTAAATACTATTTAAAGCGGGGAATATTAAAACTTGATGAGACATCAAGTATTCCTTTGCAAGGACAGCTAAATGGTTAAGGCATGTACAACATAACTATCAATAAATAATATTGAATAAGAAAATACTGATAAATCTGAGTAAATATTGCTCTAAATTGATTTCTTATAAAAACGTACCACCTTCTTTCAAGTAATTATGCTAATAAAAAGGGGTTGTGCTACTGTGATTCAAATATTAAGAAGCTATATGAACTCAAACAAAATGAATTAGAACAAAATCAAGCAG